TTATTATTTAAAAATTATTTTATATATAGTTTTACGATAAATTTGTTAAACATTGACTTTTCTTTAGTTAATAATTTAACAACAGTTTAAATATTTATATACTATTAAATTACAAATAAGAAGGGAACTGTAATATAATCTAATCTAGGATTTATTTAATTCTAATTCCAACTCTCTATACCTTTGCTTTAAAAAATAATTTTTGATAGTTTTCTTAAATGACAGATAAGTTTCTATCTTTACTAAACAACAACTATAGGGCAGATATCTCAGACAATAAAATAGCATTGAAATTTGGGTAAAGGTGTTGAAAATAAGATGATAGTTTCTAATTAGTAAATTTTCTTTTTTTTATCTCTATAAATTTCGGCTAATTAATACATTTGATAGAAAAATTAATTAGAAAATTTGGTTTTTTAAATAATGTTTCTTTTGAGATAAAAATTTTTTAAAAAACCATTTGGGATTCTCATAAAATTTTAAATTAGGATCATTAAATCTCAATTAGAAAGTTCTAAGAAGAGATGAAAAGCGATTAAAAAATTTATATTTATATTTTTCTTAAATTATGCAAGAGATAATTTATTTTAATTTATAAAAATTAATGCACTTTCCCAAAGGGATTTATTATTTTTCCTTTGTAATGCTCTAATATAAATGAAATTCATAAGTTAAATTTCAATACATTCCCAACATTAAAAGTTAATATAAATAAATAAAATAGTTATGGATATAGAGGTATAATTAAGTGAATATTTCAAAAAATATTATTTATTTTGAAAAAATATGGCATTCATATTTTTATTTTATAGAAATCAGAGACCTGCAGGCCCGGCCCTAAACCCAGCCCGGCCGTATTTTAAGTTTTTTCTTTTTTTATACATATCCAGGCCAGGCCTAAGATTGTTAAGCCCGGGCCGGGCCTTAATATTTTTTATAAAAATTTTTACATTATGAGTTAATGGTTATAAGATTATATTTTATTATAGTTATGATTAATATAATATTGGGTGATGGTTAACACTACCTAACACGCACAGATCGATCTGATTATTAATTTCCTGCAAATTCAAAGTATTAATAAATTTTTTTATAATTCATATCTAAATTTTTACAACATATTTTACCAAAACAAGGGTATTGGCAATTCCTGCTTCAAGTGCAAGCTGTGAGCGTAATTTTTCCCCTACTGGGAGAATTCTTGAAGAAAGAAGAAGTAATCTTCAACCTGAAAAGGTAGATATGCTTCTCTTTCTTCATGATAATTTGTGAATTTTTAATATCTTTCTTGAGTATAGGGTTTCGTCAATCATGCTGGTTTTTTACTTAGCAAATTGTCCAATATTTATTGCATTTATTATATTTACCTTGAGTCATGAAAGTTTTTAATCCAACATTTTTCATTATTTTTTTTACAATATTATATAATACAATTATCTTCTTTTGTTAAAAATTTATATTATAAAATAAATTATATTAATATTGTGCAATTAGATTATATTTTCAAAATACTATTTATTATACATGCTTTTTTTTAAATAGCGATTTATTTTTATTTTATAAATTAAATAGTAAATTAAATACAATATATTATATTCTCAAAATATTTTCCATTTTTATAAATTAAATATTAGTTTTATTTTTTTTAAATGCAATATAAAATATAGTATATATATGCTCAAAATATTATTACCATTTTTATGAATATTAGTTTTATTTTTATAAATGCAATATAAAATATAGTATATGCTCAAAATATCCATTTTTATAAATAACAGTTTTATAATTTTTATAAATTCAATATAATATTCTCAAAATATTAGCTTTTTACATGTATTTTTTAAATAATAAGCGATAATACTCGCTGAAAAATATGGTAAAATACCTCATAGGTGAATTTTTGTATATACCAGGTCGAATATAATTTTTAAAAATTCCGAGCCGGGTCTGAAATTTTTTTTAAAATATCGGGCCGGGCCTTAAATTTTTAAATCCGGGCCGGGCCGTTAAAAATTTTTTAAAAAAATATGCGGGCCGGGCCTTAAAAATTTAAAACCGGGCCAGGCCGTTCAAATGGTACCTCTGCAGGTCTCTGATATAAATATTAGAGGCTCTTAACATTATTCGCACAAAAAATTAGAACTTTACAAGTTTTAATGTATTTTATAAAGGCATGTAATAAATTGAGTATAATGTCTGGTCAGGTATTAATTGGCCAATAAATATTATCATTAAATAGATGATTCTGGTTAAAAATATTGATATAAGCTTGTTTAATTTATAAAATATTATCATTGATAATGGGTCTGATTAACTGAGATGTAAATAGTAATTAAATTAGAGTATAATTAGGAGTTTAAATATTTAACAACTTTAGCTCTCTATAATATATTTTATATTGTTATATTTCATATTTATAATGAAATTTTCTTGAATAAGATAATATGACCAGTTAATATGGATATATGGCCACGAAAATCAATTTTCAACAAAAAGACATCTAGCTCATAAGAATAGGATATGGTGTCATGTGAGTTAAAAAAGTTGGAAGATTTAAACCTCAATATTTTACCTGTTTTTTTTTCTTTTCAGTAGCTTACTATTTTATGTTAAATTATGTTTCATGAATTTTTAAATAAAATTCTCTTGGGTTATTGCATATATTAAATTGATTCTCACAATAAAAATATAAAAGATAATATTATAGACAATTTTTTTTTCTCATAATTTTTTTTATTTATAATATCTTCAAAATTTTATATTTATAACTAATTTAAGGATAACTTAGTAACTGTCTAAAATATCAAAGCGTTAGAAAATTGAACGAGATAAAACAATTTTACAATGGGGATGAGCTCTACCCCATTTAATTAATAAATTTTTTTCCCTACCACTCAGTGATTAAATATATATTATGATTATCAAATCAAAATTAAAGTTTCTTTCATGTAATTTAAAATATATCAAAAACTACTCTTATTTCAATTTTTACGAGTTAAAATAATAAGCGAAAAAATTTAAGCTATATAGTAGTAAAATTATTTTTTTATAGGAAATACCCGAATTAAATAGCTTTTTTTGCATTTTTTAACATTATACCAAATTTATTCTAAAAAAAATTAAATTAATGGATGTCAATTAAAAAAAATACAAAAAATAATATGATTAGTTTTTACTTCTTTTTTTCAAACATAAAATTAATTTTTATAAGAAAATATTAAAATTTTAAGATTTTTATATAAATTATAGGGGTAAAATAAATATATCCATATCAAAATTAGACTTTGAGATTGTTGAGGAATGTTTATAAGATAATTTTGAATAGATTTAACTAGAATGAAATATATTTTCGAAAATATTTATAATTACCAAAATTTTTTCAATTGGCTTTTTTGTTTTAAGCATAAAGGAAGGTTGGCTTAGGATCATGTGACGGGACTTTTAATTTTTGACTTATTAATTTAAAAAACATTCAAATTTGGGATCAATGTATCCTAATGAATTAGAAATGAGATGTGGGAATATAAATCTGAATGTAAATTGGAATATTTATTAATCTACAGGTTATTGACTGGGTAAATAAGATCAGTATTCAATGTTGAAATGAAACGGTAGCTAGGACCCATACTAAAATTTAGTACTTAATTAATGTCTATACGACTTACAAATTTATACCACCAGGACCCCCATTTTTGTGTTATAAGCAAAATAAGGAACAATTGGAAAAATGAAAGGGGTAAAGGTGTAGTTTCACAAACATATGCCATAGATCACAACATAAATTGTGTTTATTTATGCTTTAACCCGAATATAAGCTAAATCAACCGTTTTTGAGTTTTAAAAATAAAACAGTTTTGCCACCGACAAGCCTTAAAAACTTGATACTACGATCTCTAAAACTTAAACTATTATTTTCAAAATATTAAATTTGTGCCTAAAACTTCATTCTGCCAACATAACGCCTCTAATTTTAAGGTTCCATTGATTCTGCCAATAATCGGTTTAAAAAAAATATGAAGGCAAGTTAGAAATATAGAATTATTATTTTTATAAAGATATTCATAAAATAGAAAAAAAATGAACAAAATAAAAACTATTATTAAAAAAAATTGAAAATTTATTTTCAATTAAAAATTATAAATAAAATGATAATTAAACCAAAGGAAAAATGATATATTAAAAATTAAACCAAAGGAAAAATGATATATTAAAAATTAAAACCCCATAATTGGAAAATTGAGTTGGCGAAACCTGCCTTAGACCCTCAAATTGAAAAACAATTCTTATATATTTTATATTCATCAGACTCTAGTAATTTATTAATAAAGCAAAAGCAATTTAATAAAATTAGTTCAAACGAGCTAATAAAACTGATAAGGGAAGGAGAACTTTACAATTATTTGAGGAAATTACTTCTAAATATAAAAATTTTTTTGAAGTAACTAATGGTAAATTATTTTTCCCAAATAATGTATATCACTTCTTCTATTTAGAACCAAATTATTTTAGAATAAAGAACGCTAAAACTAATATCATTTTGTATGCCACCAAATAACAACTTAATCATATCAATCCAATAATCAACGAAATAATTTACAATATTGTAGTGTTTATAATCATGTTACTTCATTGCTTCGTAAAAAATAATTAAATTATAGCTATAATATAAAAAGATTGAATAAAAATGATAAAAACTGTTTTTGTTTCGAATCCAAAAACTTTGTTATAACTTATAATAACTACAAACTATACATTATTATTATACCGAAAAGGTTCTAGCATAAAAAAAGCCATAAAATTATGAGATTTATTATTTATTATTATTAGTAAAATTATAACGATATCAAGCAGGATAGAAACAAAATTTTATCTATTAAATCGATGCAATAGGAATAGTTAAATATAATTATAATATTTTTAATAATCATTAATAAATAAGGAGAGAAAATTATATTAATAAATAATAGTTCCAAATTTTATCCAAAAAAAATTTAATAAAAATTATGGAATATTCGGGAATAAAAAATTATAATTTTATTTAATGATTTTTTAGATTTAATCCTTTCAATAACGTTGATTTTTTTTATAAAAATATATAGAATATTTTAAAATATCTTTAAAATGGAAATATTTTTCATAAACCCTATGATTTTAATTCTAATGTTTTGTTCTTATCCAGGATATGTCCAGGCACATTTCTATGGAAAATTTAGGGAGAGTTCATCTGGAATATCCAACAAATATCCATTCAATTATGACGTAATTAATTTTATCATAAGATTTTGACTATCATTATCAACGTTATATTAAAATATCATAATGAAAGATTTGGTGTATGCAATAGATCCATATAAAATAAGTTTTAGGAAGTATATATTTTTTTAAAGTATACATCTAAAAGAGTTCTATTCAAAAATTAAGACTTTTGAAATCGGCCAACCAGTTAATAAAGTGACTACTTGTTCAAAATTTAATACAAAAAATGGACGACATATATACGGCATGTTGAATAACAACAATCATCATTATTTACCGCTGTGCCAAAATATAATATTTAACCGAGTTCACTGAAACTTACTTTGAATAAATATACTATATGAATGAATAAGGTCAGCGTTGATCTTCTTTTAGCCAAATTTACTTAATATGTTTATGAATATAGTTAGTTTACAAACTAATTAACCAAAAAATTGCTAGCTAATTGATAAATGGTTAGAGGCTTAGCTTGTTTACAAACTAGTAAGCTAAATTATATACAAACTAAATAGATTAGGACAATATGCTTTTTAAATCATTTTTTTGGGATAAGACAACAATGTTAAAAGAAAAGTTAGACTAGATACATTATATTTGTAATTATAGTGCCTATGTCATTATACCTTACATGAACGAAAAATGATATATGATTTAAAATAGCTCATGTCTAGATAGTTTAGTAGTAGACAGTATTATGAAACCTTTGAGAGTAATATAAATGTATAACGACTATTTTATTAACCCCATGAGGAAAATAAATGAAATAACAATTTATATTGAAATGGAAAAAAATTATTTGCAAAACAGCGTTATAAAATTTTAAACTGAATTAAACCTTACTAATTGACTACCATATTATTAGTATAACTATACCCTACCTAATTAAAATTCTATCTCAAATAACCAAAACCGCGAAAATGGGAAAAATTAAGGTTAAAATTAAAAAATAATAATACTCAAAAGCAATTATAGGTTAAAAGGATACTTTTATATTATATGCTAATAGCAATCCGCTAGACTTGTGTAAAATTTTCTACATTTGATGTGTTGGTATCTTCCTGAAAATAGTATAATAAAAATTAAACAATTAGGCTTCTGTTTTATTAAAGATATAAGGTTCCATTTTTAATACGTGGTCGGGCTATTAAATATTATTAATCCATAGTTAATAAGATTATCATAGGATGATAAATTTTTAGCATAAATTAGATTTACAGGATTCGACTTATTTCGCCCCTTTAATGCTAGGTATAAAAATTTAATTTTTGTTTCTATCTATGAGCAGTTGTTTTCCATGTGTGAATAATTTGCTGGAAATGCTATCATAAGATTTACAATGTTTTCTCAAAATATTATTCAGAAGATCTTGTTCCTTTCCTTAATAAAATCAATTATATTTTTTTGAAGGTTACAACTTATACGTTTACTAGATCCAAAAATTTTATCTTGGTAATAAGCACATTAGAGAAAATTGGTTGTTTGATGGACAACCAATATTAATTTCGCCTAGTTATAATATTTTAACATATAAAAACTCTATTTTTAATTTTTCTGGGGGGGGGGGGAATGACTTTCTGACTCCTTCGTCTTTAGGATGCCCTGGGAGAGATTATAAATCTAGTGATTAAGAATATAGCTGATAACGGTTATAATATATCAAGAAACACTAAATCAAAGAAGAAATTTATCAAAATTAAACTTAAAAAATAACCTAATTATTAACAAAGAATGATATCTTAACCATTCTTGGGTGAATTAAAACATTTAAAAAATGCCCGAATCATTAATAGAAAAAATCAATCAAGGCTGTAGAATATAAATTATCTTTAAAGAATAGCTAAACAAATTAAAACTATGCCTCTTAAGGTAGATCATCATAAAAATAAAGATGAGTGGAAAACTAATAAAACTTTAATAAAAGTTTGGGGCCTAAAAAATAGTATTGTTAAAAATAAAAACCTCTCTATAGCCGATTTTTTTAAAAATGCTAAATCATGGTTTTTGCCAAAGAAATAAAGGGCCAAACCTTTATCCCATCTTTTGGTAAATAGGCTTAGAAAATTTTAAATTAGCTAAATTGAGGTTTTTAACAACATTACTATAAAGTAAGAAACTTGAAAAACCTAAGGAATAAATTTATTCAATAATTTTTTTAAATAAAGGAATATTTAAAAATTATTTTCTATAAATTAAAATTTTAAATCTGATAGTTATAATAATTAACTGAATATTTTAAACAATTTTTAAAATTCCTATTTTCAAATGCCAAATATGTTAAACCTTCTATTTAGGTCGATTTTTAAAAACTATCTAATTATTATAGCTAAAATAATATTAAGTAGGCCTCAATATATGTAAAGTAAATAGAGGTCCAAACCTTTTTGCCATCTATGATCCAAAATCTCCAGGCTTACATTATATTATCTTGGCTAAAATCTTAATCGTCGTTTTTAAAAATCGAATCAAATCGGGTTGCTTAATAATACTATCGCGATATACTATTTAAATTTATAATATTAAATCGAAAAAAACTATATATTTGGGAATATTATCGAAGTTTGGCATAACTTATCTCGACATTTGATCACCATTTGCCATTGAATTATAACATTTAAGATCATGAGAAAGTTTCTTTTTTAAAAAATAGCTCTCCAAAATGGAAATTTGTTATTTTTACTTATTCTATCTAATATCCAGGGGTTTTAAACACTTTAAATATATAAAAATTTTGACCTTATAAATAAATTTTTTTAATAGCATCTCTATATATAAAAACAATTAAAATACTTATAAAGTACCTATCAAGGCTTAATCAGGTGCCGCATGATCAATGATGCTAGAACTTCTATTATTGTTTATAAATTAACATATTATTATACTATATCCCTTTTAAAAAAAATTATTTTAATTATAGAAAGGCTTTTTAGGTGACTTAGATTACAAGGATGAATGCAGTAAAAGGTGTAAAATATCGGAAGATTGCTGCAGAGGATTTACCTGCATGAGTTCAGTGATACGAAATGCTTTTACGGAAGGTTTTAAATATTCATTTAGTAAATGCTTGTTAAAAATTTTTTTATACTAATCATTTTTATTAGGGAGGATTGCAAAGATGAGGAAAGGGGAATTGCCATACTTTATCATTTTTCTGTTTTTTTCGCACATTGTTTAGATATATTATCATTAAAATGTGTTTTCTATTCTGGGTAGTACTTTTAAAAAATCGAGATATTATATAAAATACCAAAGAAATAGGGCATTTAAAGCTAAAATTGTTGTTCTATATACTTAATATAAGTGTTGTCAATATAATTAGTTAATCTTTTTAGGAACTGAAAATAAAAATATTTATATTTTGAAAAAAGTGTCTTTAATCTGTAACTATTTACATCTTTGGGAATGTAGCTATGTATAACTATTTACATTTTGAAAAAGGTCTTTAGTCTGTAACTATTTACATCTTTGGGAATGTAGCTATATGTAACTATTTACAGTAAAATTTTATATTATAATATCATAGATAAAAAGTGTTAGATCATTTTTATAAATGTGTTTATTTTAGACAATTAAAATAAATATGTTTGTAATTTTTTCCCGCCAATTATCTTGAAAATCAAAATTTTGTGATTATATTGTTTAAAACTTTATAAGCAGCTTTGAAAATTAAATTTAGATATTTAAAAAGGAACATTTTCATTTTATTTCAAGGTTATCAAACTTCTTGTATTATTTGTAAATTAAATTACCCAACAATTTTATCATAATAGGGTGAAAATAAATACATCGAATTATTCTTATATAACAAATAATGGTTATAAATAGTATAGTTTAGGTAACAACCGACCTATTTTGTGTAGAAATACTATTATGTGGGGGGAGGGGCAAAATAAATATAAACCTAATAGAATTTGCCGGGTAATCCTTTAATGGATTATCAATTTCATCTTAATGTTTGAACTAAATATTATAAGAGCTTTAATCGAAATTCTATTAGGTATTATGAATGAAAATTATATACATATAATAGAGTAAATTTCAGTTTACTGCTGAAATTTAGGATGTAACACACAATTTAATAATGTAAATAACTGAGACAATAAAAATATATAATTTTTAGATTTTTTATTCCGTTAAATTTATAGACCATATATTTTATAGACCATATATTTTTTTTAAATTAAATTAATCAATTCTTAACTTTTATACCATTTAAAGGCATTAAAATAACTATACTGTAAATTAAGAGACTAGTATTGCATTTAATCTCATAGAAATTTTATCTGCCTCGCTTCCAAAGTTTTATTGTTAAGTTGTGCAGAATTTTTTAAAAAATTGGTTGTTAAATTTTTTTATTTTAATTTTTATGATTAATAAAAATATAATAACTTTTGATATTTTAAAGCCTTAGGTTAATATAATTTATTTCACAGTTGAATAGGGAGAAAATATTGTTAATATAAAAGTTTTAATATATTAATTCATAAAATAACTCTTGTCTGATTCGGGCCTTTGAATTAGAAGTGGTCGAAGTCGGATTGAATAATATTATATGATAAACTATAAAGACTCACAAATTCACAATCTAATTAGTAATGGCATAATATGATTATTTCAAATGTTTCAAAAACGAAATATTGATAAGTAAGATTACATTTTTCTAGAAACTTTTAGAAAATTTTTAGCAAAGAAGAACACCATATTGTTATCATAGTGTTTTATTTTTTTGATATGTTGCAACAATTTACTGAAACCGGAAATATGACTGAGTTTAATCTCATGAATGAAATTGATTCACCAAAATGCTTGATTAGGATTTTAAGGGGCATTATATTTAAAAATTTTAAATATCGAATATTTACTAAAAAGAATAAATGATATTTTTACATCTATGCAGCAAACTCTTAATTTATGATTTAATAAATAGGTTCTAGTATACAATTAAAAACCTATCTAAAAAGTTAATTATTCCATAATTTTGATTATAGAAGGTAATTGTAAATTAATTGCTTAATGTTAATATTTGATTACCAAAGTAACAACCCTTTTTACTAGATATATCCCTTTATATTCAACTAGATAGTCATTACTGGTTATCATACCAATAACACAAAGGGGTCAATAATCTCGATAAATTAGTTTTTGATTTTTACTGTTTCCTTCTTTGAAATTTGCTCCTTTGTCCTTATAAAATATAATATAGTCTAGCTAATTAAAGAAAAAGTTGCTAGAGCAAAGGGAGGAAATGGGAGCAAAATAAATTTATGATACATCCAATCTCATGCATTTTTAGAATGAAAAAATTATGGAAAAAAAAATTATATTTAAAATAAATTCATATAATTGAAACTATGAATTATTTATTTATATAGATTATTAAAAATATCATCAACTGATTTGTATAAAATTATATTTTTGTTACATCCTTTAAAATTCTGTTTAAATTGAATATTGAAACTATGAATTATTTATTTATATAGATTATTAAAAATATCATCAACTGATTTGTATAAAATTATATTTTTGTTACATCCTTTAAAATTCTGTTTAAATTGAATAATTTTATAATAAGGCTTTTGTATAATTTTCAATATACTTGATTCGATTATAATTTTTTTTTGAATAGTATATTATTAATTATTTATCAAAAAATTGTAATTTTTTTTATAAAAAGAAAGTGTTAAAATCCTTATCAAAATTTTATGTTATTAAAATCAGAAATAATATTTTTACTGTAAAAAAGTTTAATCCTTAGCAAATTTCAATTTACTAAATAAGGGTAATTAAACCATTTTTTAATATAAATTAGCCTAGCTTACATCTTCCTACCCTAATTTTTTGATTTAAATCCTAATTTATAACCAAAACTTTTTAATTTTGACCCTATTATATTTCTAGCTTTTTAATTTTAACCCTATTATGTCTCCAGATTTTTAATTTTAACCCTATTATCTCTCTAGCTTATTTATTTTAACCCTATTATTTCTCTTACTTTTTAATTTAAACCCTATTAACTTTATAGTTTTTAAATTTTAACCTATTTTCTTTCTATCTTTTTTCACATCAACCTATATTTCTAACCTTTTTATTAATCCTACCCTCTTTATCAAATTTAAAATTAAACAAGTTTATTGATTTTATTTTTTTAAACAAATTAATTTTTTACAAAAAATGTACAACTACCTATCAGAATTTCATTTCTAGTTATTACCAATTGGCTTAAGTCCCCTAAGCTAATTTTTTAAAAATGTTAGGTAAAAACTTTTCTCAAATCTTTGGAAAAATCGTGGATCCTCTTTTAATATTATAAAATTAACACAAATAGCTGTGTTCTATGGCAACTATCTAGTTCCCGAACTCAACTAAATGACGGCCTTCCTTATTTTATGCTTTTTATATGTTACTCTATTTTAATATAGTTTTAATGTTATTATTTTATAAATAGTTTACATGTTATTGTTAATATATATTTTTTAATTAAAAATGATTAGTAAAAAAAAAAGAAATATTAAATCCATTTTTCCTGATTACCATTTTTTTTTATGTATAGCAAGAAAACTGTAAACAAATAAAGTATTTTATACCCAATTTTTCATTAAGCAAGGTGAGAATGTAAGTTATAATTTTACTCTTTAAATATTCCAAAAAAATTAAAATATTTTCATTTAAAAGGTGCAAGTGTTTAAGATAAATTTATTGCCTAAGGGGTTTCCTAATCAAACACCACTTTAGTTATGTTTAAAAATAAAATATTTATATAGTTATATTTACTCAATATATCCAATCATTCCACTAAGAAAAGGGTTGAAGAATACTATATTAATTTAACAGTCTTTAAATATTTTTCCCGAAAAAAGACTAGCAATTGATTTGAAACATGAATAGAAATTATATATTTTGACTAAGCTCGAAATCAGATTCCTAAGACTAACGTTAAAAATAAATAATTTAAAAAAAATATTTAGCAAGATTTTGTAATATTCTCATCACTAGGATAAGAAATTTAGATATGGCTTGTAACAAACGAATCTTTTTAGATACTCGTTGATAAGATAAAAGCTCTACTTAAATTTTAAAAATTTTATTATTGATACAATCAATCCCTAATTTATAATATTAGAAATAAATAAAAAAATAATCTAAAAAAGACACCTACACAGGTTAAGGAATTAATAATCAACAGGGATGATTCTTAAAATGAACACCTGAAAATGTGATTAATATTTCTTTTAAAAACCCACTCAATATATTATGGCGATAATAAAAAAAAATATAATCATACAATATACTAAATTATTGTTAGCTTTAAATAAAAATAACGATAAAATAAGATGTAAAATATAATTGAAACAAAAAACAAAAAGGGAATGAGTAAATAAGGAAATAGAAATTTGATTTTATGACATGGATTGAATGTCTTTGATGAAGATAAAATCTTTTTTGTGATTCTCTGTTTTGTCCGAAATTCTTCCGCCAATTTTTATTAGGTCTTTGGCTTGAGGACCAAAAGTTATAAGAGTGGTCAGGATAGCTGGATCGAATAATAGAAAATAAGTTTTGGTTGGCGCATATTTAAAGGAAAAAAAATAAAATAATTATTAGATGTATTTATATTTTATCCAAAAAAATAGGATTGGGACTCTGTGTTCAAGAAAAAAAGGATAAGGAAGGTATTGCATGTATACGTGATACGGATTGTTATCCTTATGAGTGCATTGAAATGAAAACCATCTTTCCAACTTTAAGGTTTTGTCAAAAGCCTGAAATTGTGATAAACAATCAAATTGACCCGTTTAGAAGCTCAAATATCATGAAAAAACAATTTAGTAATAATCATAAGTTAACTTTTAAAATATATCACAATAATTATTCGATGAATAATAAAACAGAAAAATAGTAATTTAATATAAAATCATAATAAACACAAAGAAATGTAAGAATTAAAAATTAAATGTTGGTTATTCGGATAACTTTAGCTATTCTCAGTGACCATCTGATTTAAGAGTATTTGATATTTCATACTTTTATTGCTATTTCTAGTCTAGCTAGCATAAACTTTTATAATTTAAATCAACTATTTTATATATATTTTTTAAAATATTTAGACGATAATTGTCAAACTAGTCAAGATTGCAATCAAGAACAAGGTTTATGTTGCTCTAGGGTTAGGATTCATCGGCAACCACATTCCCTGAAATGCATGTATAAGGAATCTGTCAAATGCGTGGAGGGCGAAGATAACGAAACGGATGGAGTTATAAGTGAAGTTGGGTCCTATGGGGTTAAAGGCGAAAGGAAGGCTAATGCAATGAGTCGATTTTTCCCTATGAGATTAAGACCTTATTTTAGATGAATTTATAATCATGACCATGAATAGACGATTGTCAAAAAAGGAAATTAATATTTTTTTATGTGCAATTATTATTATTGATTCTTTTAAGAAATTTACAAAATATTAATATTTAACGTATATCCCGTGATTTGCAATATTCCAATAATTGTTAATTATTGGAACATATTGATATTTATATGATATAATTCATTGTGCTCATCATTTATATAATAAAATATTATAATAAATTTCATTATTGGGTCAAAAATTTTAAAAAACCACTTAATATATTTTCAAGTCAGATTTGTATAAAATAAGTGCTTCACTCTGACCTTGGAAATGTGAAAATCTGCTTTTAAAATAGTTTTATTTAGATTAGATGATATTGCATAAAAGTTTGATGTTATATATTAATATATAATTTTTACGACTAGCAAAGCAAGTAAACATTTACCATATTTCCTAGTTGATTTTAAATTTTCGCAAGAGCTATGAAAACTGTTAATTATGTAAAAGTCTTTTGTAATAAAAAAAAAATTTTTTTTCTATCTTCTTATCTTATTTAAGTTTTGTTCAAGGATATTATTTTTTTTAAATTATGTATACAAAGCTTGTTAGAAAATATATAATAAGTCTCTTTTTAGACAAACCATTTTATTAATAAATAACATTATGTAACAATTGGGTGTTAAATATTATAATTTAATTATCACACAATTTAGATATCTCATAAATTAATTATCACATAATTTAGATATCTCATAATTTAATTATCACATAATTTAAGTAAAATTTATAGATTCGATTCAATATAATTTTAAAAATTTTTTACATTTATTAGAGATCAGGAGGCCTGGACCAAATCGACCCACTCATTTAATTCAGTGGGAAATCATATAATGGAGAATTTGATATTCATTTACTACTCATATTTTCTATTTCCCGTATATTCAAAATAATAAAATTTTTAAAATTTCGGGCTTGGCTAGGCTGAAAAGCGAAGTACAAATCTGATGTAGGATTGTAAATCATTTTCTAAATAACCGTAGTGATTATAATAATCACTAAATTTAAATTCATAATTATAGATTTCTAAATTACAGATATCTACAAACTTCAAATTTTTATTGGTGTTTTAAGATATTGGTACAATAAAATTAAAAAATATATTTGAAGCAATGACTAAATTTTTTAAATTTGAAATGGCAGTCAATATATTTGAAGCGATTAAATTTATGAAATAATATTTTTTTTAAATTTTAAAACCAAAATAATATTTTAAATATTATGGGTTATTTCATTTAAACTTATATTTTATATAAAATAAAAGGATAATATTTTTAAAAAAATATTAAAAATTTTAGGAATAAGATAAAGGAATTTAACAATTTATTATATATTACTAAGAATATCATTAAAACCTAACATGAAATAGAAAGAACATTGTAAAAATATATAAAAATTATAAAATTATTCTAATAATCACATTTCTTAATAATCACTATGGTAGTGATTCTACAATAGAAAAAAAAAACACTTAGTCGTGTTATAATGGATAATGATTTCACAATCCTTCACCGGGAACAAAAAATTTCATTTAAAGTAATCCTAGTCTGGGCTTGGAAATAATTTTTTTCAAATCCGATTCGGGCAAAAATTTTATTTTGAACTCTGTGGGTCTCTGATATTTATTGAGTGAGAAATATCTGATTTCCCTATGCCCAAAATTTTCAATATAGAATATTTCTAAATTTAAGGATGCTATGCTATATTACATATTGTTATTTTTTCCCAACTACCAGATTCAAACCCAAGATCCTCCATCTCAGAAATGCTTTGCAGTTGCGCTTTTGCATACTGTAATTAGGCATAAAAACCTTTTATTATATTTTGGTTTAATTTTCTTCCAGCAATTCTATTAGTTGATTTTTATTTAACATTTTATATACAAAATCTATGAGCAAAAAGTGAATCTGTTAATTTTCTTAGTTAAATTTTTTAGCAGTTTATATTAGCAATTTTATTAGCCGATTTTATATTTTAATTTTGTATAAGTAAATCTACCAAGTCTGTTAGCAAAAAATGAATTTGTAAATTTTTATAATTAAATTTTTAAGTGATACGTGATATATAGCGCGCCCTCTAGTGTTGAAATTCAACAGAGCTACGCTTTTCGAAAAATGTTACTTAAACCTCTATAGGCTTATTTAAAAGGGAGTGGGGCAAAAAAAAGCCTATACCCAAGAACTACAGTAAAAATTTAATTACTTTAGGGTGGGCGGAGGAACATTTTTAATTTAAAATTTTTCCATATTAGTACAGGTTTTAGTAAAGAAATTCAAAAGAATACTTCCAAGAGGATATTGAATAATTGTTGAGATAAAAAAGATTTGATAATGATGAGTTGAATAAATATTGAGATAGAAAACATTAGATAATGATAATGAACAAGGAATTTTGAGATACATTTTCATTTGAGGTAACTTTTTTTGATGCGAAACAGCTTTTTAATGGATCTTTTGCTGTTGTTTAGTTTAATTGTTTCATATTAACATTTAGATCCATTATATCTTATTGTTTTATAATACCATAAGGATTTGTATTCTCTATATTGTTTTCCTTTATATGTGTATAGCCATGCTGTGGAATCGTGAGCTAAATTGTTATCGGAGTTACTTATTATGTGGGCTAAGAACTGGATCCGGCGTTTTTTTAGAGTGAAATTTATTGGCGTGTGAATTGACTTTTTCCAAAGATCAGAGTTTGATATAACTCTGGGATAAAAAATGCCGTTTATTGTACGTAGACAATTATTAATAAATGATTGTAGACGCCTTATTTCTGTTTTATTAGCCTCCCAAATATCGCCTCCATATAATACGATAGGAACTATCATCGAATTAAATATCCTCAATCTAGTAAATACCGAGATTTCTCTAGCTTTCCATATTTTCATATATTTATGAATCGCTCCTCTAGCTTTTTGTATTCTCATCCGCATCTCTTCTTTGCAACTTCCTTTATTATCTAAAATTACTCTCAAGTACTTTATTTTCTCCACGATTTTTACTACGTTCTTTCCCACTGTAAGATTTTGGATCGATGGCGCATTTGGGGAGGGGAGGATAACAGTTTTGTTGAAGTTTATCCCAAGTCCTACTCTATGGCTTACGGTCTCTATTAGATAGAGTAGACTTTTGGTTTCTTCAATACTCTTTGATATTACCACAATATCATCCGCGTAGGACATAATTCTATTTAGAAAAAATATCTTCTCATTTGACCCTATATCAACTAGAGTGCATCTTTTATAATTTTATAGATAATTATATTGAAAAGGAAGGGTGAGAGGGTGCAACTTTGTTTTACACCTTTTTTTATCCTAAAGAAGGGAGAGATTTTATCGTTTATTTTAAAGCAAGCAAGTAAATTAGTGTAGTGATCTTTTAAGATGAGGATTATTTGAGGTTCGATACCACATTCTGCTAGCGTCTCCCAAAGAGCTTCATGGTTGACGTTGTCGAAAGCTCTGCTAAAGTCAATGAATGTGTAGAAAGAGTATATCTTGTATTTATAGCATTTCTGCATTATTATTTTTAAGGATAATATTGGTTCCAAAATATTTTTGTTAGGTCTATAAGCGCAAATGTATTTAGGAAAAAGAAGGGGCGTCGATTGTATAATTTTGTTTTTTACTAGCATCATAAATATTTTGGATACACAGGATGTAAGTACGACAGCGCGATAATCAGTAATTTTCGTGGATTTTCGGTTTTAGGGAAGCTACATAAGAAGGACATGTTCCATTCTGCCGGGGTGTTACCACTCTCCTAGATTTTATAGAAAAGGACTAGAAGGAAGGAAGAGGTCGTCCTAGCTGCAATCTTTAAGTACTCGGCTGTAATGTTATCAAGCCCCGGAGCTTTGTTACTACGCAATTTTTTTATTACACTTATTATTTCATTAACAGACTGGGGTGAAACGATATTAGCGTTTAAGAGAGTTGGTGTTGTTGCTTTCCGCGAGTCGAAAACCGTTATATAGTAATCAAGCCACAAGGCGATTTGTTCGTTTTGGTCAATGATTACTTTCTCATTATTTAAAACAATCGAGGGCAGCTTTCTAAAACTACCAGGTTTACAAAAATATTTTAATTTTTTGTATGCATCGTAGATCCTGTTTTCTTTCATATCTTTATCAACATCAAAAGCTTTTTTCGCGATAAAAATCCGTCTATCATTACGGAGTAAACTTTGGATATTTTTCCATAGGTCGCTGCTAAAACCGTTCTTCGTTCTTAGTAGATTGATTTTTTCTAAGGTTTCCCTGGACATCCATTCTTTTCTTGTTACCGGATTTATATTTGGTAGACTGTCGTATGATTCCGCGAGTTCTTTTTTGGAAGGATTCCAACATTTATCTTTTAGCATTTTATATTAGCAATTTTATTAGTTGATTTTTCATTTATATTTTATATTAGACAGTGAATCTGTTAATTTTTGTAGATAAATTTTTATATTAGCAATTTTTGTGAGCATAGACAAAATCTATGAGCAAAAAGGGGAATCTCTTAATTTTTATAAGTAAATTATTATATTTTTAAAAAACTTTTCTAATTTTTTAAATTATTTTATTATTGTGATATTCAATAAGGCAAAAAAGAAAGTAGAGGAGACCAGGGTTATATTGATAAAAAATTAAGGAATATAATATAATAGATGAAGCAAATTTCCAAATATTTAAAGTAGTTTTATTCATTACATATCTTTACGGTAGAAATTAATATTTAGGAAATCTTTTTTTAGTTTTTCATTAAATAAATTTAAAAAAATGTTTAAGAAAAATAAAAAACATCCTAAATACTTTTTAGCCTATCGCTGTGTATGATATAGTGAGTGGTTCTTCATTTTTAGATTTTTTAAATAATTTGCAATTAAAACTTTTCACGAGCATATTTCTGAGAAACATTTATAGAACCATGACTAAACAGATATCTGAATTTGTCTCAGTTTCTTACCTACTGCTATGTTTTCACGGGTTCCCATTGAGTGACTATTTTTATAGATTTTTCTGTTTTACAACAAATTTTTTTTTATATCGATGGATCAAAGAGGTTTATTATTTTTCTTTTACTATTATAGATTTTTTATACATAGAAATCAAAAATAATTTGTACTTATAAAATATTTTATACAAAAATTTAAATTATAGATTTAAACTTATAAAATATATTTTACAAAAATGATTTGGAATTATAGATAAAATGGATCACAATCCTGTTTGATATTTTCAACTACATATTTTTCAGAGATAATCATATTATATTTTGCGCTGCTTTTCATCATGGAAGATTTTTAATACATATAAATTATAAAAGATTTACTTATAAAAGGCTGCTTACAAAAATAATTTAGAATTATAGGTAAAATTTGTTCATAAATCCTGTTTGAACATTCTCAAAAGATCTTATTTTTAAAAAATTTCTAGGTATCATAATCTTTGAATATATTTTATTTTTGAGAAATGTTATACTCGGTTTTTTTTATGATGAAAGTATATACTTAACAAACCATCATCCGTCAAGAATAAATTTTTAAGTTAAATTAAAACAACAAAAGGCAATTTTTTCAGATATTATGAAATCGATATATTTGAAAATAGCATATTTATAAATGTTTTAATTATTTGCTCATGTTGAGGGTACTAATTATAGACTTCGTTTACATATTTTATAAAAATAATGAAAAATTTCGGATTTATATCTGATAAAAATAATAACAAATTTGCTCATAATAATAGGGAAATTTCTGATGCTTCCATCATTAAATAAGGGATAAAATTCTGATTTTCATTCTTAACGGGCTTTCTACTCGTTATATTAAACATCTATATTATAGGATAAATTAATATCAATTAGGTTTATAAAATTAAAGGGATTGATAAAGAATTTAAATAAATAATTATAAGTATAAAATATATATAAATAATCAAAAAATATTATAATATTTTATTATAAATATTTGTTTTAAAAGGATTGTTCTAAATATTGAGAATAAATAAATGTAAGCCTATAATGCGTAAGTTGGTGTTTTAACATTTTATATATTTGGGAAACTTAGATTGGAACAACTCTTAGATTGGGGAAGAGAAACATAACTCGAGCTTCCGCTTTCGGTGTTTAAATTTGTCAATGAATGCAAAGAAACAGACAATGAATGATCACCAACTTTGTTATAACGACCTGCTTTTTTATTTTTATATATTGTTCTGCTGCTGGGACTTGATTCGTAAAATGTATCTTTGTCATCACACGAAATGATAATCTAGTGTAATATTTTTATATTATCAATTGTGTTATTTAATGGAATAAATTTGGATGTGTTTTATTTAATGAAGCTAGAAATGTCTTAATTTAAGGATGCTAAAAACTTAATATTTCTTGATTTAAGGAAAAACCTTTAATTTTATTTTGATTTCTTAAATTGCATACTTATCTTAGAATAATTTGGTTAGTAGAGGGATCTCATCAAATAGAAGTATTTAAAAAACAAAAGAAAAAACTTACTTGAGGATAGATAGGACTAACACTCCAATATTTCCTCTTTAAATTATATTTGTACCATTTTTTATGGTGTTTGTCTTGGAAAGATCTGGATGGTTTTATATTATTTGGTTTAATCGTGAAAGGGGAAAGAGATTGGGATCTTAAATGCCCTCTAAATGCATTCTTATTAGCCTTGTCGTCACCCATTTTGCGATATGCATTATCACTATATCCTTTCCTGATATCATCGTAATTTGTATTTTTCTTATCAAAATTATTGATTTTACGATACATCCTCATAAATTTTGGCGTAGATGAGCCTCTGATTACATTCGATAAGTCCTAAATGTCATTTTAAGATTTAAATTATTATAGAGAATTAATTAAGTAAAATGATAATTCAAAAAAAAATTATATAAATTAAAACAATTATTAGAAGCCTGGAATAAGTTCAATTTGTTCTTTTCATTTTTTATTTAATTATTTGTGTATACTTGATTCTCGAAATCCGGATTATTTTCAACTGTAAAATGCTCCCCTTTCTTTAACATCTGCACAGTTTTGGAGGTGGGGTCCATAATCTATTAATTTAAAACCAAATTTAAAATAAATTATTGTTAATTTTATTAAAATATTATACTTATTTATATTATGTAAACTAGTGTCAGAGGCTTGTGGATAGGGATGGAAAATATGATTAGCTGAAATTTTGTGTGTCTATAATACTTTTATATTCTTCTTATCTAGAAAGAAAATTTGCTTTTATTTCTTTTAAAATTAATAATGCCTGCTACATATTATTCTATTTCTATAAAATTACCTCACAATTTTTTTCTATTTAAAAAATATTACTTAAAAAAATTCTAAAGATCTCCGAATAATTATAGACACATTTAATTTTTCAAATAATATTTTCACATTAAAAAAACTTATTATAAGTTATAAAAAAAATATTAAAACCCAAAGATTAGTTCGTATGGGATTTACGTCTGAATCTTTCCATTTCTATGTAAAAGCGCACTTATTAATAGTATTACTTTACTAAACAATAGCTTAATCCTAGCGCTTTAAGACAGAAATCAGCCATTGTAATCGTTTTTAATTTCATCATAACTAATACATCTTATTTTTGTATCCCCTTTTACAGAGATGCTACAACTACAAGTATTTTTGACTAATTCTTTATGATACCGCTATTAAATAAAGGTATCTAATAATTTTTTTATTTTTTTACCAAAACCAGAGTTTGAAATGCTCCTCAAAAAAAAATGTGCCCAGATTTTTGCTCAAATTTTTTTAAATCTTCATGATTTTTTTTTGTAAAAATCTCATGGTATTAAATCTTTCAAGATTTTTTGATCATTTTTTTTTTTTAGATTTATTATCCTTTATTTATTTTCGATAAAATAATTTAATGTAAATATTTCTTTTAATTTTTTTTGAATTACATATGCATTTATTTAAGGTTTTCTATATAATATTTTATTTGTTATTTTTAATGTTAATTTTTTCTATATAAATTTTTTTTAAGGTATATTTTTTTTATATATATATTTTATTTTTTGTGGTATTTTAAGGTGATTTTTTCTATATAATTATTTTTTAATATACTTTTTAATTAATTTTTTTTTCATATAATTTTTTATGCATTATTTTTAATGGTGATTTTTTCTATATAATTTTTTTTAATTTATATTTTTTTATTAAATTTTTCTAAATTATATATATAATATATATATGCGTTATTTTTAGTGGTTTCATATATATTTTTTATTAAATTATTTCTTATATAATATTAAATGCATTATTTTTAATGCTGCTTTTTTCTATATAATTTTTTATTAAATTTTTTTATATAATATTTTACGCTTTTTAATGGTAATTATTTCTATATAATATTTTATGGGTTTTTTTTAATGGTGGTTCCTTCTATATAATTTTTTATATTTATTTTTTTATTAAATTTTTTTTATATAATATTTATGCTTTATTTTTAAACGTGGTTTTTTTCTATAATTTTTTTAAAATATATATATTTATAATTTTGACATTATTATTACGATTTTTTATATAAAATTTTTGGGAGACTATCAAATTACCTTAATTAAAATTGGTAGAGCTAAATATCTTAAACATATTGCAATGTAATTCCAGTGGCAATATTTCCTGGTTAAGTGACAATGGTCATATTCATTTGAAGGTTTTTAAAATATATTTAAAATTGGTAAAAAAGATATTTCATAGATATTGAGATCTTATTTGACTGATAATATAACAGTGTATTATGACTAGGGTTGACAAATGAAATCAATTTGATTTGTATCACAATTTAAATCACCATGATTTTAATAAAAAAAATTAGTGATTTAAAACAATATTTTTAATAAAATATTATTTATTAAATTTGAACAAAATACTTAATATAAGGAAAGACAAAGACTTAGATTTATTTTAAATTAAATAATTTAAATGAAAAATACTTATTAGATAAAAAAAAATTCTTGATTTATTTTGTATTTTATTATTTCATTTTTAACATAATTAATTGTAAATTTTAATTCGGATCTCAATGTAGTAGGAAATTATTTAATATCCTAGAAAAAAAAATATTTATTTTGTTAAATTCAGGGCTATGAACCCTGCTTTTAAAAAAGAGTTTCAATAGTTTTCTTGATGATAATGATGTTATAAATTATATTAAATATTTTAAAAAATTTAATATATTGTCAAATATATAAAGTATGGCTTTATAAAGTCCCAATATTTTCTGAGTACATTATAGTAAGAAGCAAATGATTTCTTCATAGGCAATTATTCATATAATTTTATTGGAAATTGTTATATATTTCATTAAGAGGTATTAATATAAATTTTTAAATAATGTAGCAATATTTTTTTAAAGGGCTGAATATTCCACGCCAAGAAAGTAATTTTTTATAATGACTATCATATATTTAGCTTAATGTAAGCTCTTGGTCTAATAAACAAGTTAATTCTCTTTTCCCATATCTAAATGTATAGATTCATAAGATCTAATAAAAAATAGTGTATTTTTTTGAGAAGGAATTTTAATTAAAGTGACGACCTATTATCTTAATAAAATTATATTAAAAAACTTGTAAGTTTGCTAGGAGAGTTGTTATATTTCTACATTACTTGAATAATTATTAAAAATCTTGTTGAAAACATATATTTTTACCACTTTTTGTCAAATTTAATTTTAAAAAATGTCATATAGATTTTATGACAATTATCAATTACACTATATATTATGATTGACAATTTGCGTCAATTTTTTTTAAAGGCTTAAAAATAAAGATTATGAGAATTATCATAATACAATGTTATATTGTCTGTGAAATAAGATTGTAACATTTATAATATATTAATTTTTACCAGTTTTCATTACCTATATTTTAAAATGTCTTGAAATATGGAGTAGGGCCATTGTCATTTAATCAGTTTAAGATATTTAATTTTATTCAATTTTGGTCATAAAATATAATAAGATTTTTATTTTACTTCTATTTCTGTTAAATAAACCAAAAAGAAGAAAAAATATCTATAAACATCGTAGATCCATAAGATTCAAAAATATTTTGAACCAAGGAAAAAGAAATTAAGGTAGTTAAACGTAATTAATTTTTAAATATCAATTTATTCTATATATAATAGTTTTTATTTTGCTTATAACTGGTTTCCTTTTTACTACTGAAAACACTACTGAATCCAGGCATTATATATTAATACTAAGATATGCTTCTTTAATTATAAATGTCAGAAATAGTGTTTCTAGCGCTAAGAGCCTGACGTCATAGTTTTCATTTTGATCATAACCCAATTGTTGGTAACTAGTGTTGCTAAACGGCTCGTTTTGAGTCTATTTTTAAAAACGGCTAACTCAATATTTTCGCTAGAAAAATATTGCCTAAACCTCGAGATTTTGATAGTAGGGGAGACTGGGGTTAGTCGAACCAATTTTTACAAAATTAGCTATAGCTCTTGTTGTTTTATAGATAATATAAAAAATAATATATGATTGGATACCTAAAACTATACTCTATAAAGATGCCTTATAAAAAAATTTAAGAATATGATTTTTTTTTTTTAATTTTATTTTTTGTAAAAGTGAAAATTTTGTTCAACAAGCCCCAATAGCGGGGTGAGGCAAACCACTTCAAGGGGCTTCCTAAACCATTGGTTTTTTTAGGCCATAATAAATTGAAATGTATTTTTATTTATTAATAATGATATGTATAGAATAATTTTATTGTTTTATTGTTCAAAATATCATAATACTTATAAATTGAAGCTAAATATATATAAAAATTGAAACTTAATTTTGGCTAACTTAATAAAGATTTTTGACATAAAAAAATATGAATTTTAAGGTGAGATTAAGATTTTTTAGCATAAATCCTAAATACCAATCATAAACAACCATGAAATTGCCTTTTCAAGATTTTGAAATTTTTTTCATTACTAACTGCCATAATTGACGTGTATGGTTTAGCAAACCCCGCTAGCTCTAAATTGACAAATCATGATTGAAATAATATCTAGATTTGATAAATACTCATAAAACTTACCCAAATTATAGAAGAATGTTTAAACTTTGCAATAAAATTTATAACATATAAATGATTATATATTTTTAAAATTCTGTCATGTAAAAATCTTTTGAAAATTTCATCAAAATTTTATTTCTTAAATAAAATTTTTAGTAATGAATTATTTAAAAATATATTTTGTCCATAGATGTATACTAATGAAAACTATATTAGGATAAAATTTTAACCTTCTGGTGTATTTAATTTTAAAATGAGATTAAGTGGTTTGGCAAGCCCCGGAGTTTACCTAACCCCAGTCTCCCCTATATGTCTAGACCTTTGTTACCTCTACGAACAAAATCTTTAGGCTGGCATAATATTTTTCTGGATGAAATATTGATATAGCCATTTTTTAAAATCTGCTCGAAACGAGACGTTTAACAACACTAGTTGGTAACACTAATTGATGAATTAATGTGTACTAATCAAACACAAAATATTAACTTTAATCAAAAATTTAGTTCCTCCATATTTCCATTTTAGCATGATGCAAATTTTTTCTTATTTTGTTAATAACTTTTTTCTTTATAGTTTCTACTTAACGGATTAAATTAAGATACAATTAAACAAAATATTAATAAAATTTAAGAATAAATACATTCAGTCACTTTTGATTTATAAGTTGATCAAAATTTTTTTATAATTTTTTCTTTTATACTGGCTACTATACTGGTTAAAGCATTCAGAACCAGTAATAAAGCAAAAACACTGACAAAGATCTTAGAACTAGTGCTTCCATTGTTTCCCCAATTTTAACTGAAATCATATATATTTCAAAAGCAAAATAAAAATATAACCACGAGAAAACAAAAATATTTAATCTTCTTTTTTCAAAGGCATGACCAGTCCGAAAACAGGATAAATGGAACTTTAGGAGCAAAGCCCAAAAAAAATTAGTAAATGCCTCTCTCCCTTAGATGTGGCTGCACAATTTAGCGTCAATATGTTTTCCATGTGTAATTTAGCATTTCAAATCATTTATTTAAAAATTTTGAAAATCTGATTTTGCCGTAAATATATTCTAATATGTGAAAAAAATCTACCTTATGAATATCAGGCAATATTACAATGAACTTTATTGTTTATAATTAATAAAAAAAATTCCCCAATCTTTTAATATAAATTAAAAATTACTACAGGTTCTTTTAAAAATTCTTATGTTTGAGAATATTTCTGACAAAATTAGATTTTAAAAAATTTTAAACTTGCTCACGTTTTGAAAAAAAAGAAAAACAACAAAATTCGAAAACACATTGACGTTAACATTATATATATAGTGGAAATGTTAAATAATTAATATCTAATAAAGAAAAAACATCAATGATTATTGATAAAGGTAGAAGAACTAACCTTCAATACTGTATCTATCATTTTGGGTTCAGATAATGCTTTAACTTTGACATCATCTTCAGTAACATTTGGCAATTCCGTGGATTCCTTATTTTTTTTGGTACCAGTTTTCTTTTTTTGTGACTTTAGAATTTTTCTAATTTAAAAAAAAGGGCTTTTATTTTATGGCTACTATAATTTAATTCAAAAAAATTTAAAATGAATAGATTGATTTATTATTTTTATATTTTAAGCATAAGTTTTATATAATATATAAGTTAGAGAATTTTTTTGCCTGGGCAAAAATGTTCAAGCCGGGCAAATTAGGCAAAATATTTTTTAGTCTTGAATCTTTCGGAGTTTTTTTACCTTGAAATGCAAATTCCTTATTTTTCTTTCATAAAAAATTATTAGCCAGGCCAAAGATTTTAGAATGGCGTAACGTCATGAGATGAATAGTTATTATGAGGTGAATACTATAAATAATCGCGGATTAATATTTCGCCTTTAGTTTTATTTTTTAATTTGTAAGCAATGGGGATGGAAGAGATTTTTTAAATTATCAAAATTATCGTCCTAGGTATTAATGCATAATATATCGCAGTATTCATTTTATAGGGTACTTACTCATTATTCTAATAGGTATTTTTATTATAATATATTTATAGAGATGGTCACCAATATGTGGAAATAATTGTGATTGGCATGCAATCCCAAAAAAGGATGACGACCAATATATTAGAAGGATTTTTCGATCGATTTTTATAAATATTTTAAATATTTATCAATATGGCCGATAATACATTTGAAACTTTGTAATACAGTATTCATCCAATAATGGGTATTTACCTCATAGAGCTGCGCTACAGGTGTCTGAATCTTTTTTAAAGATTTGTTCAAAACTTGAAAAAAAAATCTAAACAGATTTTAATTAATTGTAAAAATAATAGCAAAAAAAAGCTGTAATTTTAATTTTGTATGGGAAATTTTATTTGTTATTTCCTTAAATTTTTTTAATTATAATAAAATGATTAAATTAATAATATATTTTTATATTGTGTATGATATATAAATCTTATATTTTTTAAGGTAAAATGTGTTTCTACTTATTTCATTTATATTTAAAAAAATATTCATTATTACATTTAAATTGAGTCTTTTTCTTTTTCTTCTTCTTTATAAAATTTAAAATTGCGATATGCTTTATTAGTCGTTGCTGTTTCATCGTAAAACGAAAATAAGATTTAAGTCTTGATAATCCTGGAAACGATATTCTGCAGAACAAGCACTTATGGAATTGTTGTAAGCATTTTAATAAAGCTAAAATATTATTTTCTTCTTGGATGGAACGAAATATGTCCATGCGTTTGGGAAATTCTTAAACAAAAGATGATGAATCTTTTTCATTAATACCATAAAATCGCAAATAAATAAATCTTGTACCACAATATTTAATGTATGACCTGCACAATAAGCATAAATTACTCTAGATTTTTCATTATGAAGTTTGTAAACAATTTCCACTAACGTTAAGGCTCCATCATAATAATGACCTCTGCATTTTTTGATGTCTAAAGAATATCTAAATAGGGGGACCGGGGTAAAACGATGGTATTTTGCATCTTACCAGAACATTGGCGTACGCAGCGGGGATGGGGGGGGGGCAGGGGGACAAACCCCCCCCCCAAGCCATAAAATGCAGATGCTGGATATATTTTTCAAAAATATTATTGTTTATATTAATTTATATGTTAATATTTATTCGTCATATTAAATATATATTTAATTACATTTATTATCACATTTATCTACTAAGTTATTTTATCAATTAAATTCGATTTTAAGTTTTCCGGCTTAATATTTACTTATTATTTTCAAATTTTTAGTGGCGTAATATTTATCTACCATTTTCAAATTTCTAGTCAAATAATAATTATTTCTGAAACTTCTTGTCCAACAGGGAAAAAGAAATTGCAAGTCCAACGAGATAGAGTCTCTGCCATCAAGCAGTAACAGCTTAAGGAGTTAGAAGAGCCAATTATTTGCTATTACTGAAATATCACAATGGCCTGAAAGAAATATTTCCTCAGAAGCAAGAAAATTATTGGATACAATGCTTATTCCAAATTTTATTTCTCATTAGAATGTATTATTTAATTATACAACTATTTTAAGTATTACTTTTCAAAAACATGACATTGACTTGATTAAGAAAATGAGAATAGCGGAGAGCATTTTATCAGAACTCAAGGAAATTAGGGCTAATGTTGATGAAGAATTTCATATTTTATTTTTGAGTCAAAAGCAGAGCTATACGTGTTTAATATTTGTCTCCTTCGACTTGTAGCAAGGCAAGCTCATCGTTAAAACATTAATATAGGATCAGTAGAAGATTATATCTTAAATCAGATACATTTATAACCCAAATAAATGAATTTTTAATTCATCATGCAGCACTTACTAATTTGCAAATAACTTCCACAAAAGCCTTCCCAACCTTTTGCAGATGGTGATAGAAAAAAAATATTTGTTAGATTTTTATTATATATATCTTAAAGTATCTTATGATGCCTTTAGCTGAATAACTATGTTTATAAGATTAAATATGATTAATATTCCCAAAAAATGTTATGGATGCTCTGCATTATTTCAAACACATTTTAGATTAAATTCAATGTATTAAAAGGGTTTATAAACTCTTCCCATTAGTAAACTAATGAGAGAACATTCTCTTTTTTAAGAAGAATAACAGAGACCTGGAGAAGTACCATTTGCAGGGCACGGCCCGGATTATTTTTAAAGATTTTTTACGGCCTGGCCTAGGTTTTTCTTAAAAAAATTTCAGGCCTGGCCCGGCTTTTTAAAAAAAAATATTTAGGCCCGACTCGGCTTTTTTTTTAAATTTTTAGGCCTGGCCCGGATTTTTAAAAAATATATTATATTTATTTTTGATTTTTATATCTAATAATAACGATTTCAAATATAGGCTGTTTTAAAAAATACAGCCCGGATTGGGTGTTTTTTTAAAAAAATTTCGGGCCCGGCTCGGGTATATTTAAAAAAAATTAAAATAATGTCCGGCCTGGGGGCCGGGCCTGCAGGTCTCTGAAAAACATACCAAGAAGTACAACATCTGAAAGTAGATTGAAAGATTTGGATCTTTTGAATATTCATAGGCATTTGACGACAAGCAAGGATGAGATAATTGAAAAATTATCTCAATCACAACGAAGATTGGATTTTAATTGTAAATGTATAACACACAAAATGCAATTATTCCTAAGAAACTATTGTGTAAAGGCTCAAAAAATTCAAATTTCTATTTTGGGTCATTAAAGTGATTCTTCACATATAATTTTTTTATAATTCACATTAATTTAAATTGTGTATTAGAAATAGTTATTAGTCCTAATAAATTTATGCTTGATATTTTTAAAAAACAATAATATTTCTTAAAAAAATTTATTATCCCCCCCCCCCCCCTACAGACCGAATTCCTGCGTACGTGCCTGTACCAGAATATTTTGAAACATTAACAAAACAGAACAAATTATATATTTATAAGAAGTCAAATCCTTCATCTACAAAATAAAAAAAGCGTAGATCTCTACCTTTAATACTTTAGAAAATGTGATTAACTATGTGATGTGCCATTTTCGTCATTTTACCCCATACCCAGGGTAACGCGGCTAGGCATCGGGGTAAAGTGGTTAAAATAAAATTGAACATAACTATTAATTGAACAAAATATTGCAATTTTGACAGTTATTCACCAGTTTTAATATATATTAATCAAAACAATATCGAAATTTAAAAATTTGTATCAAAAATAGCACATTTTGAATGTGCCCATTTTAGGCACATCGTACATTTCAATTATTCTTCTCTTTTGCGACTTTTCATAAAATTTTATTCCAAATAACACAAACTATTTATTAATGTTCCTCTTTGTACAAAAGTATCTTTTTATAAGGTCTAGATATTATCATTTAAAAATTATCTTCTTACAGCTTAAATCAGACGGAACATTTTACCTTTTCACCGATAGCAACTCTCAAGGTATATATATATATATATATATATGTCGTATTGGGATATAAATTCATTTGGGATTCGGAATCCCAACGTGGGGATTCGAGATCTTGAATCCCCACGTTTTATTCGGAATCTTTTTTTTTAATTTTTTGTAAAAAAATATTTAAAAAATATTCCGAATCCCCATGAAAAAAAAATAAAACAATATAATTACTTTTTCTTACCTTTTTTGCGGCTGTCACCATATAATTAAAAGGCTAAAATAAGGGATTTTAAAAGAGAATTTAGAAAAAAGTAAATAGTATAAAATTAAGTCATATAATGAATGAAAAGGGATCTTAAATCAGACGGAACATTTTACCTTTTCACCCATAGCAACTCTCAAGGTATATATATATGTCGTATTGGGATATGGAATCATTTTGGATTCGGAATCCCAACGTGGGGATAATATCTTTTTTTTTTAAAAAAAAAATATTTAAAAAATATTCCGAATCCCCATGAAAAAAAAATAAAAATAATATAATTACTTTATCTTACCTTTTTTGCGGCTGTCACCATATAATTAAAAGGCTAAAATAGGGGATTTTTAAAGAGAATTTAAAAAAAAGTAAATAGTATAAAATTAAGTTATATAATGAATGAAAAGATAAGGTTAAGACATTTTTGTTTTTGTAAATTTATAAAAAATATTAAATACTTTCACATGAATATATATTTATAAAAAAATCCGAATTAAAAAAAAAATTTATTGCAACAATTATTCAATGCAATATGAACCCTACCCGGGGACTGGCCCCTGCAAAGGTGGGGGTCCGAAGCAACTGCTTCTAAAAATTTGAATGTGGGTACTTTTTAAATTTATTTAATTCTTTTATTGTTAAACTCATCCATAACCAAGTGATTTCTATTTTATGATATCGGACTCGACCTCGTGATTCCGTTAATACATTACATATTAAATTAAATAATAAATGAGGGGTCTTATTAAATTTTAATAAATTTTGGTCGATGTTTAGCAAATTAGGTTGTTATCCGAGATTTCTAAAAAAAATACAAATGCTTATTTAATAATTGCAAAGGGATAATATAAGAGATGATAAATTCTTACTACCTCATATACTGGCAAGACTTCTTATTTAGTACCATGAAAGATCCATTTCTTAATAATTTAACCATTTTATCAATGGAAAATTTTTTTATCTAAACAATTAAATAATGATATTATAAATTTTTTCGCTTTCTCTTCCCCTAATATGTCTAAATTATTCATTTAAAATAATAATTATTTTTTTACATTAATTTATATTTATAAAAGATTGATGCAATAAAAATTATTTTGGAAATTTATGGGTGTCAAAAATAATTATTTTTTCGATTGGGGGGGGGGGTAATTTTCAGGGAGGTATTCTGCTTCCAGCGCTCAGAAAGTGTAGGGGCCACTGCCGGGAACGAGCGAACCTTTAGTCAAACTCTGCTTAGTTTTCCGCATAAAAGTTTTACATATTTAATAGAGCATAAAAGAAATACATATTAAATATCTATAAAAAAATAAAATTTTCTGGTGCCAGCCTGGCGGCAAAAAAAGGAAGAAAAAAAATATAATTTAATTGTTTTAAAAAAAAAAATCTGAATCCGAATCCCCTTAAACATTTATTTTAAAAAAATTTATTTTTATAATAACCACATATAGTCCTCAAATTAATTCATGTAGTACATAAAATATATTAATTTTTTAATTAAAGTGCTAAAAATATTTAGGAGCTTCCTAATGTCACAAACTATGGAAACATCGTTATGCAATCGCAAAATGGGTTGCATGAATAAAAGACGATAGTGTTTCAAGAACAACCTTAAATATTCAACGAAATGCCATACTGCATTGAATAATTGTTGCAATAAATAATTTTTTTTAATTCGGATTTTGTGAAAATATTTAATATTTTTTATAAATTTACAAAAACAAAAATTTCTTAACCTTATCCCTTTTCATTCATTAGATGCCTTAATTTTATACTATTTACTTTTTTTAAATTCTCGTTTAAAATCCCTTATTTTAGCCTTTTAATTATATGGCGACAGCCGCAAAAAGGGAAGAAAAAGTAATTATAATGTTTTATTTTTTTTTCCTGGGGGGTTCGGAATATTTTTTAAATATTTTAAAAATAAATTTTTTTAAAAAAGGACTCTGAATAAAACGTGGGGATTCAAGATCTCGAATTCCCACGTTGGAATTCCGAATCCCACATGATTCCATATCCCGATACGACATATATATATTGTGTAAATCGTTATTGCGTAACTTCTGGTTTAGCTATAAACTTCCGATAAATTTTATTCATATGCAAAATTTTAAAGCCATAATATATTTTACTAAATGCAAAATAAACTAGAGAGTAATTTTTATAATTTTTGGGTAAAAAAATGTTTTTTGGAAAAATATGTCAATCCGGGAAAGTTTTTCAAGATGATTATAAGTTAAAATACATCTTCACACCAAATTCTAAGACTTTATGCTCAAGGGTTAAGAAGTTATTCGTCATTGTTACCCCGTAAATCGCTTTATCCCCGTCTTCCCTAAATATGTCTTTGATTACGATAAATAAATGTTTAGAATTTCTTTCTAATACTTCATAAATTCCTAAAACCAAATTATTCATTGTACATAGTAAACATATTAAAAGCAGCGTTTTTATAGATATATTTATATAGAATGCAACAGAAAGGTTTCACAAGTCTCTTTTGCAACTCGTGCGAAATTATGATAATAATTTTATTAGTTATATTATGTAATATCATAGGAGTATACAGGAATTTGTTAAGGTGGGGGGGGGGGCACTATTAGAAGAATTTTCTTCCCATAAATTTTATTTAGGTTCACTTATTTAGGCCTTTGGCTATATTAGATTTATATAAAAATAATTTTGGTTTTTAAAAAAATTTGAATTATAGTCGTTATTTTTAAAAGTTATTAATTTTTGTTAATTTTTCTTTCAAATTCTTCCTTATAATGATATATTGTATACATTTTCTGGTGAGGGGGGAGGGGGTGTAGGGGAGAAATATTAGTTAAAAATGATAATAATAATTCATCTATTTTTTATAAGGGCGCAGCAAGAGATGGGAGGAAAAAGTGCATAAATATATAGAAATAATTCAATAATTAATGTTTTCTTTCTCTTTGTTTTTGTATGAAATATAATAATTCATCTATGCCCCCATAAAAATTTGTCAATGGGTGTGCCCTATTGCATCCGTAAGTCCGCGCATATGACAATAAAATGAATAATTTGTATAAAATATTCTTCAGCCTAATTAAAATATTACGGGTCAGGCAGGGCCTTGCTAATTTATAATATATACTATTCAAGTCAGAATTTAAATAATAAAATATTATTAAGTATTTTTTAAAAAAATCATAAAATTTTCTGCCGGATGAATAAATTAAATCTAATAGAACGACAATAACAATTTTAAAACATAATAATAAATCAACTTGATGAATTTAACTTTTTTACCTAGCCTTTTTTTCCAATAAAGTTTTGGCATCGGGGTATTCCATCAGAGTGTCTTCTAAATTCTCTTTACTCAATACAAAAAGCTTGGAAAACCCTTTGCTTCTTACGTTAGCAGTCCTTCTATTTTCACCCGTTATGGACAATAAGCTTTAAAATAAAGTAATCTATGTTTTAATCATTTGTACCAGAAAGATATTCAATTGCAATTATCTTATATCTCAAAGGTTCTTTAAGAAAAATTGGTTTCATATACTCACAAATTTTTTAACATAACATTGATAAATAATAATTATAACGAAATTCATAATGTAGTTGTCTCGTTGGCAGTTTATTTATGACTATATAGAAACTTAAAATTAATTTTTATCATCTTAAATTACATTGGTTAGATTAGCAACTTCAGGTGACCTTTTATTAAATTTTATGATGTATAAAATGATTACCTAATTTCACCAAATACAGAGCCTTCTTTTAGAGTAGCCAGTACGATCAAGTTAGGGTCTTTACCTATAGTGACTTCTACTATTCCACTATTGATTATATACATTTCCTTACCTATTTCTCCCTATTTTATATTAAATTAATCATTATAATTTCGTTTATTTGTAGTTTAGGACAAAATATGATAATAGAATATGTTTATTAATAATATAATATTGCATTTTTAATTAAAACAAATTCAGTGCTGTCGCTAGGAGAAGCAAAACTTGACTGAAAGGATTTAAATTTAATAGGTACCAACATCTACCAAGAAAATGACCTTATAAGCACTTCCAAACAGTAAGAGCTAATGCGCTTAACATATTGAATGTCAACACGGGTATTTACCTTTTTACAGATATAATCTCCTGGTAAATACACGACAGGTTTAAGTTTCAATACCAAATCCCTTAGCAGATTTCTCTCGCAATCCTTTTTTTAAAAAAAAAATATATTTATAAATATTATAATTAATCAATGTCCTTATTTGTATAACATATGCTTTATTTTCTTTCTCCTAAGATACCTTTTCTTATTAAAATTAGTATCTTATATCCTCCGAAAAAGGGTAGTTTTTGTGGGATTTAAACAAGCAATCCTGCAAAAACAATTTTTTCGGACCACGTATCGGGCCAGTAGGGCTCTGCCCTACTGTATTTTTTTTAATAATTTTTAGGCTAATTTGATTATTAAGAAATGTGTTAAGTAAACTATATGTTGGAGTCCGGAATAGAAATCAGGAGGGAGAAAAAATAATGGTCTTCTTAGGGATTGGTAGGGAATCTAAGATGGAAGACCTACCTAATGCAAAACCCAAGTAAATAATATTATTATTATACCTCAATTAGTAGAATTTAGAATTAGTTCAAACTAGAGATGTTTAAATTAATTTCTTGAGTCCTTAAGCTCGGTGGTAAAAAAATATATAAGTCTAGTCTCAGCCCAGATTTGCATGGAATCAATTGTAGATCACTCTTTTATAGATAAAATTAGGAAATATATTTCAAACTCAAAATATTTATTTAAAATTGGAAATTCTCTTGTAACTTTTAATGTTGCAAGCGTTTTAAAAGCAGCATAAAGAAATGCACCGGGGCGGGATCTAAAGATAATTTATTGACGTTTCTCTATTTTATTCTATTTATTGCAGAATAGGTAGCAAACTTTATATGAATATCGAACATTCCCCAAATCTTACTCTTTTAAAAAACTTTTCTTCTCTTTTAATTTTTTTTTTAATAATGAGAGTCAGTTAGGCAAAAAAAGGAAGAATAGGAAGGATATATAATATTAATATAGTTTTAAACCATAAGCCTAGCCTATATATTATATAATATGTTATTCCCCCTCCCCTGCTCGCCCGCCCGAATTTTTTCCACGGACTCTATTCAGACCAACACTATACGAATTTATCTCCTCATTCAATATGCTTGCTCTATTTATTAATGATTGGTGTCAGGATTAGAAAGTAGCACCTAATCATATAGTTTTTTACATTTAATGATCACAAACTGACCATTATTGTAGTATGTCTATGTACTATTTTGATCAATTTTTATCACTTCCACAAAATTACCATAGCATTCTTGGTTATTATATATGAGGATTTCATTATAGTCAATTTTGTTTTCTTACTAATGATGAACATAAAGCAAATATATATAATAATTTTGTAAGTGCAAAAGTTAATGAACTTGAAATAATTGGACTTTTGACAAGGTTTCGTAATGCACACTGATAGCTATATCCGTTTGCATTTTTAGAGAGAGAAAGTCTAAGAACTCGTTTTCATCTGTTCATATGTTCAATAAATTAGTTATTTTCAAATTTCAATAAAAAAAAGTTTAAAAGATTTTGCCTAAATATAATAATTAATTAATAAATGAAAGCCCATTAGTATATCTTAAGTCCGGTGAGGTATCCAGGATGATATTTTGTGATCTTTTTGGAAGCTTATTAAGCAGTAGAGCTTATTAGACTAATTCATAGCCATTTCTTCAATCAAACTGTTAAAAACAAATTAAAAAATTGGGCTTCTCTAATATTTTAAATACCCTAAAATATTTCGAGGATAACTCCAGATGATGGGATTCTTCACTTAACAAGTCCAAAACTATGTTTATCGAAAAATGTCAGTATTGATTTAAACTATTTTTAGAGTTCATTTTAAATATCATTTTATCTAACTTTAATTGGATTCTTTCCTAATTATCAGCCAAATCTGGTGGGTTATATTTATTTCCTCTTGTTTTCATATCCTTATGACCATTTACCGCTACCAATCTAGGTTGATAAATAACTTTATCATATTCTTAACTGATCAACTATTAGATTGCAAATATTTCCCATTTTGCCAAATTAAAATCAATATAAAAATGACCTATTCCTTAATTTACCCATGAAAACAAAACGAATCTTATCTCGGCTATATTATGCCCAATTTATGAAAATCTTTTATACCCAAGCATTTTTGTGATTTCCATGTGTATATTATCCATAATCTAACTTTATTAGTGAGGTAAGGGGGTATGTTAGAATTTTTCAAAAAATTCATAGTTTTATCAAGAGCATTCCTAAATTCTGTAATGTTTCTTCGACTATCCTCAAAAATAGCTCTCACCTGTATAATAATTTAGGTAAAATTTATTATTACCCTTTTTTAGGAAAATATTTTATATGTTTACGTGCATTTTATATAAGATAATATTTATTTTTTCATTTGACCTGTGCACCGCGCCCAACGCTGTAATGTCATTTTTGATTGACATCAAAAATTAAGAATCCGGAACGGCATGAAACATTATTATTCCGGATTATTATTTTTTTTAAATTAAATATTAATTGCTATAAAAAGATAACTAATTTATTTTAAAAAATTATGTATTATAATTTACAAAAAATAGGTATTATATATTTATAAATATATTATAACTACCTTTTTTATTGTTATTTTAGCATAGATTGAAAAATAGCAGGATTAAAACATTTATAATGGATTCTGCTATGCAAAATACGTAACAGAATACATTATAGCATTAGCTTGGCAACAAAGTTTTCTAGCATTTTAGAGGTTCAATATTAGAAACTGAGACTACTAATAAAGCAGTGTTCTTACAGATAGTTTTTTTTTTAATTTATGCTTGCAAAAAAAGCACTTTTTTTAGACATATATTCGTAAATCATATTAAGATTAAACTTAGAAAAATATTTGGTAACGCCAACGCATCGTCATCTTTCATGGTGGTGTAAAATCATCTCCTCCTACAGCCGATGGCTTTATTATAAAAAAGGCACCCCAAGTAGGGTCGCTGATGCACAGGACAATATATATCATTTATGCAGAATATTCACATTACATACAGACAAGTCATTCAATTTTTAACATTAGAATTTCTCAAATGTAAATTAATTAAAACCTGAGCTATAAATAAAGCTACGGAAAAGGTCCCTATTAACCAAATGATAGTCATATATATCCTCTCTAGATTATTATTAGCCCCTTCGTTATTGCCGATACCCGTTGAGGTTTTTAATCCAAAATAAAAGCATCTCAAATATCTTAAATTTTTTTAAATATATAAATGTAATTATATAAATAATGGATTGTTTGCCAATTGTCCAATTTTCATAATTGCAGAAGGTACACTTAAATTTAAAGACTAGAACTGTTGCAATTACGGAAGGGTAGCCAGAGGATTCCCTCTCTTAAAATTCTAGGAAAGGGATAGGAACCCTAACAAATATTTAAATTTTGAGAAACCACGGTTAAAACTGGTTATAACAAAAATGCAATCGATTTTTATATAATTGTTCAAAATTTAGTGTGTTCTTTTAGAGTTGTTTATTGTTCAATTTATTTTAAAAATTGCTTATTAGCAAAGTTTGGAACAATAGCCTGGTTCCCTCATAACCATTCAAATCTGATAATCGGAAGCAGAACCCATTTCTATTAGAAACCGAAAGCAGAACCTTTTTTTAGTAATTCCAAACTCTGCATATGACAACGCCCAAATATGATATTATATAGGTACAAAACCTCAAAACCGAAATAAACAGTTATAATTTTGTAAATACCAAAATTTTATAAGAAAATTTTGAAAGGATAGAACCTAACCAGCGGCATTACCGCTTGGTGTTAGAAACCACTTAAAAAACGCAAACTTATTTGCCTTTTTCAATACCTTTTTCATAAATTAAGGTTAGCATTATTTTTGTTCTAAAAAAATATATACTCCATATTTTTTTATAAAATTGAAAATCCTGTTTCAATTTAAACGAGGGGTGCGTTAGGTTTTTTTACTTTTAAAAAATTAGGGATAAACGCAATGCTCAATTTGTGCGTACTCGTACTAATGCATGTTTATAAATAAAATAAAAAAATTCAAGTTATTTCCTTTAATTTTTGTTTTGGTCTTTTTTTTTATAGTTTTTAAAATATTTTTAATAGTTTATATTATATGACAATTAATTTAAAAATCCAATATTTATAAAAATCGGAAAGATTTGAAAAGAACTGTTAAGGATTTATAAACCGGAAAGAACCGATACAAATTTGCTTAAAACAACCGGAATGGACACCTATTTTTGTAAAATGTTACATTTTAAACTAATAACTGAATCGTTAAACCAATCGGTTCGATCCATAAACATTAAGAGAGGGCATTATATTATTAAGATCTTTCATAAAATTTTTAAGATACGATAAAATTTTACGCGTGTCCTTTGTTATCGTAAACCCAGTCATTTATGCCAAATCCTTCGTACTTGGACATCAAGTAAAAGCAGCTTGCTTTTACATTTATTAGCAACAGTAAATAGAGCACTATTCTAAACATCCTCAAGATATATGAGGATCTAAGTATAATTTCTAGCAAATCAAATAATTGAGGCAACACAGGATACTAAAATTTTATTTTTATAAACATTATTTTACATATTTTATTTACCTTAAATATTCTATTAATCCGAAATATAGGCCATATTCCTAATTTAAGATACAATAAATCAGTAGGTAATAATGCAATAATATCCGCCTAAAAATAATATAGATAACGTTACATGTTTTAAAAATTATTTCTATAGTTATATTATATATAAATAAATTAAATAATTAATAATTTAAAACTTTTATGATTAATGAAAACGTGAATTCCAAGCTCGGAATTTATCTGATGAAACATATATAGCTCAAATTTAAAAAAAAAACATATATAATTAAGAAAAAAACTCAGAAATTCAATAATAGATCAGATAAGATCCAAAAATGACGATCTCTCCCTAATTAGGAGTTAGTCGGGGTAGTATTTAAACAATTTGAATTATTAATATTATTGTATATGATACAACATAAAGTATAATCAACTTTGAATTTGCCAGTTTTCATATAATTTTGTCGCATTTTTACTCGATCAATCTTTGTAAGAATACAGTTTATATAATTCGAACAATGAAATATAAAATTATTAAATAATTTTACTATGAATAGTCCATTGTATAGATAGCGAAGTTTCATGTGTACTAAAATATCCGTAAAAAATATAAAATCGGTAAAATAATCCACGGCAAACCAATAATACAGACTTTTTTGTGTACTTTGAACCTCTCTGAATGAGGTCCTGATGAAAATAGTGAACATATTGTAAAGAAAACATAAATTGACCAAAACCATCCATAATACGAATCTGGGCTCTGTTACGTTTTTTTATTTTTGATGACAAAACTATTAATAGAATTAAAAAATTCTCATTTAAATCACAGTAACCTTTACTAAATATATATATGTATGTATTTGTAGGAAAAAAACTTAAACATTTACGCTGAGCTTACATATCAAAGTTACTAAAATTGAAGATCTTTTGTAAAAACTCAGATTTTGAAGTGAATCAAACATTTTTATTTAGTTAAAATGTATAATTAAATGGTTATAAAATATTTCTATTCGCTTTTAATAATAAAACATGTTCAAAATTTTCTTTATTCTTATAACCATATCAAAAAATCTGCTTTATGAATAGCAATCATTTTTAAATTAAGCCTTTTCAAAAAACGAATCGAATAGTAACTAAGATGGGATTAATATAGTACATCAACTGGACGTGAAAGGCTTTTTTTAGTTGTAACTAATTTCCTGACAAAAAATAGCATGTCTTATAAAGAAAAAATAATAAGAAAAACTCAACTTTAAAAATTGCTTGGCATTATAAATTTATAGTCAGATTATTAATTATCAGTTTAAAATTAAACGTGCACTAAAAGAATTCTGTCAATATATTTTTGTGTGAATTATTTTATTTCAATTTTAGTTCTTAGGAATTAATTGCGTGATTTTTAACATTACTTCATATGTGTTAAGATGTATAGATCCAAAAATAAACAAATCATAAAATAAAAAATAAAGCAATGCATTGGCTGCCTCGAATCGATTCTAACTATGAAATTCAATTCAGAATGGATATAGTATGAAGATATCACTAATTTGACAAACTTACTATAGGAAATTTCTGTGTAGCTATCCTTTATGAAATATTAGTATTTAAGACACTCTAACAAAATATCAGAATAAAAGCGATTAAAACATAATGTCAACTACTTAAATATTAAATATATCATTATATTAGCTTTATCGATAATTGCACATTTTTTAAAAAAAATTAAAATTCTTATTACAAAAAAACATTTTTAAAAAATTACAAGATAAATTATAAATTTTGTAAATCAAAAAAATAATTTAGATTAATTTAATTTTTATACATGATAATTTTAAAATGAAAATAATTTTTTAAAAAACAATTATTGTCTAACCGTCGACTTTGTAAAAAGGAGGAAATATAAGCCGGATACAAAAATGTAGGCAAGGTATGGAACGAATAATTCTATTATAAAAGCCATATCTAGACTTTTTTAGGTCTGGAAAATAATCTCTCAATTCTTGTTTATCAAAATATTTGACATCTTTAGTGCGATAATTGGTTTTTCCAAAAAATCCTTGTCCAGAATCGTATGATATTTGACTGGAATGACGAGATATATTTTCTGGTGAAAGAGAAAGTAACCTCTTGTGAGAAGCCCCTTCCGCCTCAGTCTCAGTTAATTCGGATACAGAAACTAATGAAATACACAAACAATTTTTATTTCAATATATACGAATAGATCATGATTCATTATATTATTGATTATCTTATAAACTTGTTTCATTTTATTAGTATATTGATTATAATTATCTCATACTTCCTAGTCATTGATCGTTAAAAATTTTAAATAATTAATATTTATATAATATTACAGCTGGATTTATCGGTAGTGCTGCTATTGGAAACTGAAATATCTTCGACTAATTTTTCTTTGACTTTTTCTCCGCGCAATGTTAATGAACTTCTAATACTTTTTATCCTATTCCAAACAAATTTTTCTGTATCCTCGGTCAATCTATTAATGGTTTTAGAAATTATATTTTTTACGACATTATTTTATATTACCCTAAAGAAGAAATTCCCAATGTACTTCTAGATGTCATTTGTATGATAGTATCGCTTTACTTTTCTCATCTGAATTTAAACATCATTAAGATTACGAATTTTACCTTACATAATTAATTAACGAATCATCGATATGAATATGATGATATAAATTGAGAAGAAAAATATTTATTTGTCATATTATTATTAATAATAATAATACTAAAAAAACGATAACAATAATAGTGTATTGAATTTTTTTTATAAAATTTTAAAGGTATATTTATCGATTTTTTATCCGTGTGAATTAATATCTAAAACATTGCTCATAGAAATATTCATGATTTTAGTTATTATTATCTTATCATATATTAATTTTCAATTCCAATCTTATGGAATCATAAATGTTATTTATTTTGGCTGTTTATTGGATTAAATGTATATAAGTAATTTACAGATAAAGTTGAAGGGCGTATTTCATAACTCTGAAAAATAGGTAGAAAAACACACAATAAAATCAGCAAAAATCATAGCAAATATTTGAAATGATAATTGTTTTTACCAATTTATTGCAAATAAAATACATTAAAATGTGCTTTACAAGTGGAAATTACTTATTTTTTAATTTTGTGAGTATTTTACCTAGAGTATTTTATATTTTTTTTAATTTTAACTGAATTTATCTGTTCTAATTTGGTGGTTGCTTTTTCCGTTTTGTGAAGGCAACATAAAATTTACCCCTATAAAAGATATATGAACACAAATTGCTCCTCCCATCCAGCCCTGGCATGTAGACACTGATCATCAAGCTCAGACAAAAAAAAACTAGTTCAAAGGACCCTAAATGGTACTTTTAGATTAAATTATTTGTTGTCAATTTCGTTTTTTTATAAAAATTTTGAGATTACTTTTTGCCAGAGTTATTATTAGAAATTCGATATATATCCTTTTATGATTTGTAAAAACATGTCTATTGAATAAATTAAAGTAATTCTTAGTTTAGGGGTTATCATACGAATCGGCTATGAAAAGGTTGTTACACAAATTATCAAAAAAAGATAAATTTTCCTAGATTCCAGGTAAAACTTTCTTTTTTAGTGTGCTGAGACGATTATATGAGATGCGAAATTTCCCCACTGAAATGAATAACTTGATTCTGAGCAAAAAGCATTGTTGTTCAAATACGATTGTTTATTCGGTTCCTACCATAAAAAATATCTTACTTATCGATGTGGAAAATTCGAATAAAAATATAACTGTTCCCTGATTATATCATCAAATATAAATACTACCGAAAACCTCTCATCCGATCTGAACTTGTAGGTGGACCGGGTTGGGGTATGCATTGCCTTTTCTCTTAAAAATGTGCCAAAATATGGCATTTTTTACAATATAAAATATTTGTTTATTTACTATATATGTAAGTTATAAATTTTATTTTGGGCACTTTTAGGAGAAAAGGCATTTTGCTAGTATTTTTGGTTATTTACTAATGTACTATTACATTTCCTCATTTATTATAAAATTTGAGTATTTACTACCAAACTTTATCCTTTCGAAGTTTTATGAAAACACTTTTGATCATTTTCAAATTTAATATTACATTTGCTCATTTATTATATATTTAAGTATTTGCTACTACATTTGGTCCTTTTAGGCGAAAGGGCATTTTGCTAATTTACAAGTATTTTTTGCTCATTTACAAATTTTAAACATTCATTGACACTTTTAGGTGATACGTCGGTACACCTGGAAACCTAGGTAAAGAGATTAACGAGACCACAATGTTAACGTGAATAACGTTTAAGCCTTGAATATAAAGACCATAAATTTAATGTGAATATGATTCATCTTCTGAAAAATGTTCATAGTTTTGTCAAAAACCATTTTTTTTTGTCCATTAGAAATTACCCTGTTTTTTTGCTTTTAACAAAATCTACTAATCTAAAAATCATAAACTCATTTTCTTAGTCTTGGCTATAAAATATAAGTTATTGGACATTAATAGCTTAATTAGAAATCAAGCAAAATCGATTTATATAATAAATATCATTTTGGTATTAAGCTGCTATGGGTAAAATGGTTGTTTAGTCTGATTAAAAAGTTGTAAAAAAGAATTTTTGAAAGTCTACTCCATACAAAAAGAAATTTTTAGCAAAAATAAACAATTAGTTTATGTAATATGGAATAAAAATATGGAAAATAGGGGCAAAGATGAAAAATAATTAAAATGTCCGATATGCCTAAAATGGGCACGCTCTAAATATGCTATTAATAATTATTTATGTTTCCCCGTATTTTAATTCTTATAAATTTAAAAGTAACAAATGTCAATTCTTATTTTTATTGCGTTCAATTTTATAAACCAATTTTCCCTGTAGCTTAGCTGATTTACCCTGGGCAAGGGGTAAATTTGCGAAAATGTCACATTTTACATAATTATAGCTCCTAAAATATTATAGAAAGCTATACTTTTTATTGTATTTTGTAGATGAAGGATTAGGTATGCATTAATCTATAATTTATTTTTATTTACTTTTTTAAAATATTTTCATAGTAAAAATTGCGAAATACACTGTTTAACCCGGTCCCCCTACTCTATACCAGATGCTTGCCCATTTCCTTTGAATAATTCTCGAATTATATATTTCTTAAATTCCAGTCCTTTTTCAAAAAAAACGAAATAAATCAAATATCCCTATCCCATAATAATAAATATTTATGTTGCTATAAAAAGCATATCTATAATTATAAAGAAAGTGTTATACACAAATGGTAGCTTGATCGTAAACTCTATTTTGTGCTATCTATTTCTATATAGACATTTTATCTTTTAGCCTTATTATCTAATTTCCCTTTACAGAAGTACGAATAACTTTACCAACTATCGCGTTAGATAATAACTTAATTAAGAAGCATCCTCTTCCTTTCTAGCCTAATTTGTAATAATAAAATATGTCAATATAATTTTTTTTAAAGTATAATTCTTAAAAAAAAAAATAAATTCGCTTATCCTGTAAAAACGGACTATACCAAACAAACATATATTTTATTGAGGGGCTAATAAAGTTTAAAAATGTATATAACAATTGGCATATTATATCGACTCTATTCTTTATAGAGCCAGGATAAAATAAAGTGCAACAAAAATATTTTACCTTGAGATTTAAAATAATATTTAGGAGGTAAATTTATAAAATGGCAATGATTGAATTGATTTTTTTTTAATAAATGAATGGGCGTAGTGTTATTAAATGGCTCGATTTGAGCCAATTTTAAAAACGGCTAACTCAATATTTTAGCCAGAAAAATATTGACTAAGCCTTGAGTTTCCGCTAATATATGTCCAAACCTTAGTGTCATCTATAAGCAAATTCTTCAAGCTTGCGTAATATTTTAATAAATAAAGTATCGAGGTCGCCTTTTTTTAAAATAGGGTCAAATCGAGCCATTTAACAACACTAAAAGTATTGTGGTGACTGTGTGATAATATAAACAAAATTGAATATCAGCATTATAAATTATCTGTATAAAAAAATGTGAGTAATCATCTATAAAACATAATACAGATAAATATTTGATTTATATATAGATTTAACGAATATATTATAATTTATTAACTCAATCCTTAAAAACGGAATTTTAAAAAAATTAAAAAGATAAGTACAAATATGAAACAATGCATAAAATCCACAAATGTTAAACTTAAAAGATTCTAATCAGTCATGAATTAAAAATTTAGCAGCTAGGCACATGTGATCCGATGAAATATATCGGCTGGGCAAATAGCCTCCCATTTTAGTCATAACCTCCATTTCAGTTAGCAAATTATAACTGGCCAGTAACTTGAGCCGCGATTCCAACTTAAATTTACCATCCTTCTTATCGTCTAGTGATAAATCGTCCCCTTCACCACCTGTGTAGAATACGTAATCCACGTTAAGTCCCGTATTAGAATTTTTGGTGGTTACCACTGCTTGTTCCTTTAAATCTGAATCCTTAGAGTTATAGTTATAAACAGATGATAGATCTAGGGAGTGGGTCAGGTCACGAAGATTCAGAGCCTTTGCCAGAGAATTTGTTTCCAGCACAGAGTATATTTCTGATTCAAAGCACGGACCCATATAATTATTTTTAAGTTTTTTATCCAAGTCAGAAGTTTTACTAATAAGATGTCTGTAGACTCTGCTAAACGGTGCCGAGTTGAAATCTCCGCATACTATAACGGGTGATAATAATTTTATGTCACTATTCTCATCTTTATCGTCAACTTTAGGTTTCCCAATAACTTCATGATTAATGCGGGCCGCTTCGATTTCGGCAGTCAAGGCTATGCTCTGAGCGAGTCTGACGTCCTCTCGTTTAGGATTGAACAGAAGGTGCACGTTGGCCACACAGATCCGTCTTCCACCTACGTTATTGGTATTGCTAACAGTATTGAGACTTTTATGTTTGAGGCGTAGATTTAGAATCAAAGCTACATTGTCACGATCTAACAAAGAGCAACCTTGACGAGGTCGGTAAAATTCCACACCACGAGCGGATTCGAGAGCTAGTACATCAGATTTGTAAAATGTGGCACAACCATCGCGTTTTGAGCGGGTGCGTTTTTTAAAAACGCCTTCGTAACCTTGATTTTTAGGGAGAAAAATAATTATCAAATTTTAAATTGAATCAAGATACATAAAAAAATGGGCCCATTTGTTCCCCATTTAAAATATATCTAATCTCGAGAGTTCAATCAGTAATATAATTATCGGAACTAATTATTTTTATATACTAATACGATAAATTAATTTAATTTTTTCTCATTACATTACTGACTATTGGATACCTGGGTATGAGATAAAAAAATTTTTTTGACTTTCTCATATCTTAAGTATAATATTAATTGATGAAAAATATAAAAAACCCGGAGAGCTAAATTTTTGAGCCGCAGCTCAGCTTTAAAGTCATTTTTATTTTTGAATTCGATCTTTGCTTGATTTAATATATATTTTAGAATATAAGAAGCAAATAAATGTTAAATGATCCATTATATAAGTTGTTTACAACTATTTTATACAATTTAAATTTATTTTAAAAAAATATTTTAAGCCTAGCTTGTATTTTTAAAATACAGGTGGAGTTCCGGGCATAGAGGTTGCTGATAAATATATTAAAATAAATTGTAAATTCATTTATATTATTTATGGCTGTTCCACTTACGCTATTTTTTTTTAAATATGGCCTACATCGTTGTTTCCATAAGAATGACAAAATAAAATATATAATTGGTAAAACAAAAATAAAGTTATTATCATAATTGTTATATAATTTATATTTTAGTTTATTATTTATTTAGAATTCCAATAAAATTGGCATTTTAATCAATATTTTAACATAAATATATAGATACCAAGCTGATGATCTACGTCACTTTGGCTTTCTCTGATTTTATTTAAATCTTGTTTTTCCTTAATTTTTTTAGTGCACCAATACTTCCCGTTTAAAAAAATCGAATCGAACCAATATTTCCAAAAAAGTCGATCCGATATTATCATTGCTTTGCTAATTTTAATACTGATATCAGAGGCCTACAGGCCCGGCCCATATTTTTTTTAAATATACCCAGGCCGGGGTGGACTTAAAAAAATTTTTTAAAGCAGCCAGGCCAAATATTATAAAGACTATTTTAAATCGCTATTATTATCTATAATTTTAAAAATAAAAGGAATATATTTAAAAATTGTCTATCATAGAACAATAAATCACATTCATTCGCTTATCAATTTCCTATTTCCATTTTATCGATCCTTAGTAAATATTTCTAAAATTCAAGTTAATTATTCAAATAATCGTTATTTTAGGTGATATTTAATCAAATTCAAAGTAACAAAAATATACTAATATTTAAAATATAATCTTTTTATGGCTAAAATTTATTTTAGAAAAGTATATCATATTATCTCTTCTTTTCTTTATCCCAAATTGAGCCAATTTTCAAGGGAGAATGACTGATTCTTTAAAAGACTATATTAAATTACAATAGGAACAGAAAATAAGGGAATTATTATTAATCAATCGAATTGAAAGTGTGGTGATGTTTACATTTCTATTAATTAAACCGAAAAAAACAACTAATATTTATAAAGATTGTATAATCATAAGATTAAAAAATATTTTGAATGGTAAAAATTAAAACTTTGATGTATTTAGACGTGTTTGATTTTATGACAATTGTCACTCATTGAAATTGTATGAAACATGCTCAAAATATTTATTCTAGCCTATTTTACTATTATTTTTAAAAGTTCTGAGATGAGTGTTATGACAAATGTCACTTTTATATGTTTACAATGATTGAAACCATCTCGAAATATGCTTTATTCTAGCCTATTTTTTAACAAAAATTATTCTTAAAGGTTCTGAAAGTATATTATGACAATTGTTTTATTGTTTATAAAATTATGACAAAACATATAAATAATTACTATTATTTATTCCAAATATTAAAAAATATACAATGGGTATTATGACAATTGTTACATTTATAGCTTAAAATTATATACAAAATATTATTTTAAGAACAAAAATTAAAAAATTTTACTTCAAAAATATAAAAGATTTTACCTAAAAAATTTTTATTTTAAACAATAACAACGTAATTTAAATCCACAAAGAAAATATTAAAATCCCAAATGATTTGCTCAAAAATTTTTTTTATAAAAAACATTTTTATTCTGCTCAAAATTTATTTTTTATGAATAATTTTTTTGATCTTCAAAGATATTTGCTCAAAACTAGGTGGAATAGTACTTACCTTATGATAAAAAATCTTAATAATAACACAGATTTTTATGATAAAATGGGTCATTTATACCAGAGACTTTAAACAAGAAAAACATATATCGACAGTAATTCGAACTAAAACAAATGTTGGTTCAGTTTCGTATATAAATAACTATCCAAGTTTCAGGTTCGGTTAAAAAATAAAAATATAGGTTCTGTTTGAACCTCTAAAATCTGGTTTGAACACTTTTATATAGAAACCTACACTTGATTTATATATTTTATTTGTTGTGATATTTTGTTAAATTTAATGAGTTCTAGGGAGTGACTTCTTTTTATATGATGTTCAAGATTTGCTCAGTGGTTCCACTTTATAGTTGTCAATCAGTAATATTACATTTTGATGTAAATAAGTCGATTTATTTAAATATTTAGTTTCCTAGGTCGACTTGTTATTAAACAGCCAGAAAAACAACTTAAACAAATTAAAATAGGATGTTCTAGTTCATATATCTTATTCTAATGCCCAAATTTATTATTAGATATTTTTTATGATTTAAAATAAATATTAATAAAGTTTTTATTTATTAATATAGTGTGCAAATTTATTATTAAGGATTAAAAAATTATATTGAAATATAAAATAAAAAATATATATTTATTTAGAAGTCATACCAAGTTTGGTCATCTCTGGATAGTAAAAGTTAATATAATGGTCAGCTTGTATTTCTTGAAAACAAAATATCTATAATATGCTTATAAAAAAGAATGATATTTGAAATTAATTACGTCACAATTCAGTTCTTTAATTTCAGCTAACAAATTTTTTTGCCTATATTCCCACTTCAAATATTCATCTTGACATTCAGTGTATAAATACATATTCGTATCAATAAGGTATTGGGCTAATACATTATATGATGCCATTGTTATTTCTGAACAATGTGACATAAATGGTTTAATGTTCTCAAAATAGTTCCCATAATCTGTAAGGAGCCATTTTCTAGGATTATTAAATTTTACATAAGGAGATTCTAATAAATTAATCAATAGTTATATCATAAATATCTAATATACCATCGCTTGAATCATCATATTGACTTTTCAATCTTTCTTGCTGAATTAATATGCTTTTATAATAACGATTAAAATGCACGAAAGTTGGATATAAACTCATATTTATATCCTTTTCTAATGAGCAAAAAAATAAGGAAACAATAGTCTTTTTAATATTGTTAGGAAATTTATTTGAGCAATATGTTCTTTTCCAATTACAAATAATTTTAAACATTCATATTGTCGATTATAGTCAATTCATAGAAATTGCCGTTACACACCTGATTTAAATTTCCATTCGTCTATTTACACACACATGACCGTGAGATGTGATAGGTTATTATTAATAATGTTTATTCTTGAAGTATTTTGAAATTCACAATAGACACACAAATAATCTCAATATAAAATCGTTTTCTGATATAATAAAAAATATAATTAGAATATCAAGTATAACAGAACTGTTTTTGAAGGTAAAAAATATATTAAAAACTTTAATTTTGAATTTGGTTAGAAACTATACTTAGCTCTAATCTATGTTTGCTACTTACCAACGAAGAACTCAGAATAGCTATTGGTCTTCGCTTAGGCTGCAAAATCGTAACGCCTACATCATGTGTCCTATGTAAAACTTACATTGATAGTCTTGGACACTACCCCCTACACTATCGTTTCTCAAAAGGCAGACTTTCTAGACACTCTGCTATCAATTCAATCATCAATATAACCCTGAAATTTACAAATATTCCCTCTAAGCTGGAACCCACTAGCCTTAACTCCGATCAGACCGGAAATGGCGCTAGTTCCTTGGAACCAAGGTTTACCCAGCTTGAAATTATACATGCTTGGATCGTTTTGCAAAATGTTTTTTGCCAACTCCATCACGAAAGCGGAGAATACAAAAACCAATAAATATTGTCACCTTAATAATGTTTTGTTCCTTCCGGTAGTATCAGACACATCATTTGGACCCCAAGCCCTAAAATTATTCAAAACAATAGGGCAAAGGTTACGTTTAATCACAGGTGATCCAAAAGAAGGCTTCTCCCTTCGACGAAGAATATCAATTGAAACCTGTCGTTCCAACTGCATATTCATACATGGGACATTAAGCCCCGCCGACCATACCTAAATATAAATTTTCTTTTTTCTTTAAATCAATTTTTTTTTTTAAATTTCCCTTCCTTTAATTATATATTTTTATATTGATCATAGATATAGTATGTTAATATGAAATTAATATATTTTATTTTATAAAGGCTCTCTTACCTAGTAAAATAAAAATGAAAATCTTCTTAATGTAAAATTTAAAAAAACTTATATTGACATTTTATTTAAACTATTTTAAACTAAAAAGAATGGATTCCTAAGAATATAGGGAACTTCCTACAGAAAAAATAGTTTTGAATATCTTCTTATGAAAACTTATATTAAGTATGCATATACTGAAAGGAAAAAAGAAAAAAAGAAAGACTAAAATATTTTTCTGAATAAATGATAGATAAAAAAAAACGAAAATATATTCTTAATGAAATATAAAATAAGAATTTGATTCTTTAACAAATAAAATGTTTAAATCTGCTTAAAATCATTTTAATGTATTTTAGCCCAAACCCTTCTCAAGCCTTTAATTGGATGAAATATTTTAAAAATTTAAATTTTGAACCCTGTATCATTTAAAACATATGATTTGAAAAGTAAAATAAGTTTGAGAATCCTGTAAAAAAAAAATTGGATTCAAAATATTTATTTCATTCAGAGTTTTTAGATTTTTATATTAATTTTATTTATAATTTAGCATAATCATCTTATTGTGTTATGTTTTTATAAATTTATATTAAATAAAATTCATCATATGCTGGTCGCATTTCATATTGGTTAATTTAAAGTTTTTTTTTCTACTAATAAAATCAATCATTTTAAATTCAATAAATTAATATGTATGAACAGGGTTGCCATGTCTAACCCCATCAGCGGGAGACTCCCACAATTTTTTAGTTTACACGCAGACATCTCTCTCCCACAAAACTACCGCAATTGGAAATCTTCCGCAAAAATCTATCGCAATTTTTTAATTTCTTTTTTTAGAAGTATTTTAACGTTTTTAATATATAAATAATAATTTTGAGAGACAGTAATTGATTATTTTTATATTTTTAAAATAAATTTTAAATATTTATTCGAAAAACATGTCTAGTTTGTAAATTTATTTCTATCCTGTTTTATTTTTATCCAATAAAAACATCATTTCATTCATATAAGTCAGTACAGGGGAGTATATCAACATCGGTTGCAATACAAAAATATTCTCCAAAAATAATAAATAATACAGATGCAACTACAGTTGCGGAAATCGTATATATCATGTAGTTCAACATTCACAGAGCTATATCATCACAATGCGGGTCGAATCTTTTCCCATGATTTAAAACGACTCCAATATAAGTGCATACCTTACTTGTGGTAGAACAAAAATGAGAAAAGCTATCATAAGTGTTTCAGTACCTGAATCCTAGAGGTCAATTCTAGACGATTTGAAAGATGTGCATCCATATGCAATCTGACAAATGCATTTAATAAGTGAAATATTAAAACATCTCCCTTGATCTTTAGCTATTTCAACAAGAATAAGAACATTTCAATAAATGTTAAATTTTTTCCCTCGGATAGTGAAAAATCCAACGATGTAGCTAACCACATAATGTAATATAGCTGATTCAGGGTTATCAATGAATTGCATGTCAGCTTTCTGCCCTGATAATGCCTTTGTAAATTTTGGCAAAAACCTCAAAAACCAAAGTGTATTTACCGAATTGAGGCAGCACAATAATTAATTAATACCAATTGACTGTATATGCCATATACTACATAATTCTTGCAAGAAGGCAATGAATGTACTATCTGTGGATATCGAAATAATTATGATGAAATGTTTTAATGAATTTAATTCATCAACTAAAAGAGTTAATGAATTAAAAGAGTTGGTGGAGTGGTTTGACTTGGAATGGTGTGAGTTGTTGCGATATGTACCTATCAGGTGGTTATCATTAATACCTGCAATCGATAGAATTTTAAAATTTTATTATGTATTTGTGACAATTTATGTTAAAACTATATTTGTGGCGATTTATATTAAAACTTTATTTCGAATGTTGAAATCACAAAATTACAATCAAAATAAAAATGTGTATATCTATATAAAAAAAAGACAAGTATATAAAGTTTTAAAGTAATTGAAAACATTTGCATAATAACATTAAAATAAGAAAAAATTAAACATATTTTTGTTCTACAAGTAAAGTTATTTATCTTGGAGTCGTTAAATATTATGGGGAAAGATTCTACCTACATTGTAATTATAAGTAGCTCTGTGAATGTTGTACTACAAGATAAGTGATTACAATTGCTGCAACAGTAGTTTCATCAATTTGAATATTTTTTACTTTGACCTTTTCTTTTTTTAATGACCTTTTAAATTATATTAATTTTCGTAAACGTTAATATGTAAATGGTATTAAAATAATAATATATATATGTAGGTGTAAAAATTGAAAATATCAGAGTAGTAATTTTTATAAAATTAAAAATAAATTAAATAAAGATTAAAAAGTATATTTTTTTGGTTTCTCTTTACCTGCCTTCCGTGAAATTATCATGGTGGTAGAGAATTAAGACGCTAATTATACTGAAACATGGTGAAGCTAGATAAAAGAGGAATATGGAAAATGATTTTAATATTATTCTAAAAACACGTAAGAGATGATTAAAATATAAAATTGAATAAAAATATAATAAAATTTTAATGATGACATATTTAAAATAAGACAATAATGATAAAACAAAATTCATAGATTAATTAGAAGATTATTTAGTAAAAAAAATTTAAGGATGATGAAATACGATGAGCACGATAAAGGGATGAAGTCGCACGTACATAGATATCAGTGGAAACCGAGATACGATAATTATAAGGATTCGAGACATACAAATAATTATGAACCAAGATATAGAAACAATTATAATCCTAGAGTTTATGATAATGATAGGGGGTATAATAGGCAGGACCGTATAATAATTTTACAAGATTTAACAATAAAAATAATTATAACTACGATAACTATAGATATAATAATAATGATAATTACAAATATAATGAAAATAATTATAAATATTATAGACATCAGAACGAATCGAGATACATACCTAGATACAATAATAATCAGAACAATAATCAGTCATACAACAACAGATTTGACGTAAATAGAATGGATGATGATGACAAGGCAAATGATGATTACAAAGTTACGAGGTTCCCGTTCTATATCGCTAAAACAAAAATCGCTAAAAATTGGAAACATCGCTTATATCTCCTAGAAAATTTTTAAAGTAAATTTGATATTAATATTAATAGATACTAGGAAACTAAACACTTGTATTTAAATTGAAAATTTAAAAAAAAATTATAAAATGGAAGAAATATCATCCAAATTCCCAATTTTGGGATTCCCAAAACTGGGATTTTGGATGATATTTCTTCCATTTTAGCGATTTTTTTTAAATTTTCAATTTAAATATAAGTGTTTAGTCCCCTAGTATCTATTAATATTAATATCAAATTTACTTTAAAAATTTTCTAGGAGATATAAGCCATGTTCCCAATTTTTAACGATTTTTGTTTTAGCGATTTAGAACCTATCCCAGTTACGATATATCTTAATGATTTACCAACAGACATGCAGATCAACACCGGGTCACGATTTTCGATATTGCCGATTAATATTGCTAGAAAGATAGGAATCAAAGTCTTAAATAAATCGGATACGAAACTGACTGGCTATGATGGGAGAAGAATAGAGGTGCTAGGAATCATTAAAATAAAAGTGAGATATGAAGACAAAACTCAAAACTTAGATGCTTTAGTAGTCCAAAATGACAAAATTGCAATTCTGGGAAGGAATTGGATAAAAGTTTTTGGGAACATACTTAATAAAATTGTAAATATAATCGAGGAAAATAGAAAAGTAGATAGTAAAAATTATGAAGGTACATATTACAATAAAAAGCATGAAAATTATAATTATAAATATCATAATAATAAAAACTTGAATAAAAATGAATTATGTACATTAATACCAAATGTTAAAAAAGAAATA